GGCTCCATGTGCAATAGTGCATACCCACCCTCCACCTTCGAGACATAAACAAACGGTAAGCAGGGAAACCGCTGAAGCTAACACAGTCTCCACAAGAAGGGTGAACCATTTTGACCTCAACAAAACCTGCCTGACATATTCATACTCCATGGAAATAATTTCCATTTCAACAGTGATGTCTCCTGAAATCGTTTCTTTCGACTCCTCCCAGGTGTGAGAATGTTTCTCTTGCTCTCTCGATATGTCTTCAATTCTCTTCCTCAGCTTCAGCACTTCGTCAGAAGGCTCTGAAACTAAGTTAGTAAAAAGGTGATATTGTAGACTTTCTAAATGATAGAATTTCTAAATATTTCTCAGTGAGATACATTGTTTCGTTTTTTAAGCCATGCATTTGAAACGAGGTAATTAGGATCGTAGAATCTTCTTTCACTGTTTCGCGTGGACAGCGCTTTCACCCTGTGAATAAATTTCTCCAATTTCAGGAGAAACAGTCGGTTGAAAAAGAGATAACAGTCACGTGACAACTTGGGGCATTGTGGCAATATTGGTGTGTTACGTCATCAATGTTCCGAAATATTACCATGGATGAGTGAGTTTAACGACTCTACAGTATCGACATTTCATTTACGTCACTGTATGTCTGTTTGATGAGGGAGGAAAACCCGAAGTGATGGAGCCCATGGAGGTTTACCTGTTTAGTTCGGAGAAACCGAGGATCACGGGTTCCTGGCTCACTTGTCTTTAAGTATGATCATGAATACTTATACAACTACAGTGTTGGCTTTAGTAATGAAGACTCCGATGGAAGATGTTATGTGATGTGATGTGAGGTGATGTGATGTGATGTGATGTGATGTGATGTGATGTGATGTGATGTGATGTGATGTGATGTGATGTGATGTCAGGTGAGGTGATGCGATGTGATGTGATGTGATGTGATGTGATGTGAGGTGAGGTGAGGTGAGGTCATGTGATGTGATGTGATGTGATGTGATGTGATGTGATGTGATGTGATGTGATGTGATGTGATGTGATGTGATGTGATGTGATGTGATGTGATGTGATGTGATGTGATGTGATGTGATGTGATGTAAAGTGATGTGATGTGATGTGATGTGATGTGATGTGATGTGATGTGATGTGATGTGATGTGATGAGAGGTCATGTGATGTGATGTGATGTGATGTGATGTGATGTGATGTGATGTGATGTGATGTGATGTGACGTGATGTGATGTGATGTGATGTGATGTGATGAGAGGTCATGTGATGTGATGTGAGGTAATGTGAGGTGAGGTGAGGTGAGGTGATGTGATGTGAGGTGAGGTGGTGAGGTGAGGTGAGGTGAGGTGAGGTGAGGTGGGGTGGGGTGGGGTGGGGTGGGGTGGGGTGGGGTGGGGGTGATGTGATGTGATTGTGTTTGGTTTTACGCCGCTTTTAGCAATATTCCAGCAATATGTCCGGCGGGGGACACCATTGTACTCATGTGGGGAATCGAATCAGCGTGACGAGCGAACGCTTTAAAGGTCACATAAACCTTAGGGGGTACAAATACATAAATCACTTACTGGCATCGTTATAAATGAAACCCCGTCATTAAAACTTCTCATTTCGACCTTTAATTGACTTAAATCGACCTTTTTGACAACAGTGCACAATTCTCACCCGCGAACGAAATTTCAACCAATCAGAGCGGCGCGCCTCTGTGACGTCATATGAGGAATAGCTTTGAGGGCCGATGCAGAATTCATCTACATTTTAGGGGTTAAATTATCTTGTTTACAGGCTTGTATAAACCTGAAATCGTGACAATTGTTGTGGAAAATGAAAGCTATATGTTCTCACAATCTACTGTCATTTAATTTTGTCTCCTGCTTTGCCTAGTTTCCGAGTTACAACTTGTTTTCATAGACGATTCTGTCAAAATCGATTGGTGTCGTTAGGCCCTATTTGTATAATGACTGATCCAAATTGATCCCATTTCTGTGTTTTTTTACCTCGATATTTAATCATGTAATGTAAAAATCTGTTTGTATTCTCAAAACAGTGTCGGCCCATAAGTTTTCACATGCAATACAGCAATTAATACTCCCTGTTGTAACCCGTGTTAGGTGGTATAAACCTACACATGTTATTTGTCATCATTCACTTGATGGTCAGTTAATGAATTTATAACAGGTATAATTAGTGGTAACACACTTAGATTACCCGCCAAAGGTTCCCATTTGGCATTTCTTGTGTGGAGTAAATATTCAACATTATAAACATCGATCAAAGGATTAACCGATAACACGCTGATTGATTAATTACTTTTATCTTACACAGCGGAATTGTCAAAAGGTAGTGTTTATGTATGTAGATTTACTAATTGATACTGAATACACTCTGTCGTGTCGGTGTCTGCGTAAAAACAACGCCCTTCTTTCAAAGGATTAACCGCCAATACATTGATTGATTGCCCATTATTGGCTAACTAAATTACTGTTTTTAATGAAAGGCGGACATTATGCAATTAGTTGCCAGGTGTGCTATCTTGGGTGACCAATGAGACTATACACCAATACCTGAAAAGATTTATCACTTTTTCGTTTATTAAACTGTTAAAAGACACATCATTTGGAACAGTTTTGTGGATATTGATGGATACATTCCTCGAACAAGGTAATGGCCTGATATTGTTCCTATATCTTTAATCTGTTTTAATTTTAATGTTTGCATTTTGTTTTTATTCATTTGTCGTAGCATTCATCAGAATCATTGTTTTCGGCGTGAAGTGTAATGAGACAGACAACATGCACTAGGGTGTGTGTGCGAATTATGATTCACATTGGCAAACTATAAAATGTCTAGATATTACAGTTCTGTTATAAATTCACTATAAATATCAGCAGATCGTCTGCTTTTTATTTAGTTTCAAAATGCATACAAGTATGATAATAAACTAATTAGGATTATAAGACCAAATATAAAGACGCACATTGACTAGTATCTACATACTGGTGAGTGGACATTAACCATGGGAATGTAGCAAGAAAGTATCGCGCAGTATTGTGACTTCGACCCCCACCTCGCTTCCGTGGAAGAAATCGTTATGTTATAAGTTGTGTCATGCAAAATCCGTTTTGGTTATGATTCCAATACATATTTAACTACGAGTAGAAAGTAGTCTTGATTTTCTAACTTGATGAAAACAAACTATAATCTCATTAATTCTAACAGATTTGTTTATTTTTAAAAATGGCGGCGACCTGTCGGGAACATCCGCCAGTCTGAGGATAAATGGTATTTAGGTTTGTTTCACCGAGTTATATAAAATCAAAACTACTTTCTACTGGTAGTAAATATGTATTTTATTGATGGCCAATAGGATTTTGCATGACATAGCGTATAACATAACAATTTCTCTCGTGGCAGCGAGGTGGGTGTCAATATAATACTACTTACAATATTATTGTTACTTCGACCACAACCTCACTTCCGAGGAAGAAATCGTTATGTTACAAGTTGTGTCATAGAAAATCTTTATGGTCATCAATCATATGCATATTTTACTACAACTAGTAAGTAGTTTTGATTCTTTAACTTCCGTGAAGCGATCTGAACACGAGTAAGATATCGTTTCAGGCTTCCACAATGCTCGCTTCGCACTCACAAACATAACACAAACATTTAGCACGAACTGCGGGGTCCTGTGGAAATCTGTGCATGGGGACACCATCGCCCGACCCCTAGGAGCAATTGACGACAAAGCAACGATTCGGCATGTCGTCGTTGATGTCGAGAAATCATCAAAACGATGAGCGTGCTACACATTTTCTATACAACTAACTGAAAATCGTTCCTCATATGACGTCACTGCAGTGCTCTGGCGACAGAGTTACGTAACCTGTCTGTGGTTTCGTTAGCGGGCGGGAGGGAAGCAGGCGACTTTTTAGCCACTTTTAATCGCTCGGTATTAACTAACCACAAGTTTTTAAAGAATAAATTTGGTGTTCCGCGTAAGACTAACCACAAATCTTTCATATGTAATGGTTAAAAGAGTAACAAAAAACAAAGTTTAGTGGTTCTTTAACCACTAGGGTACCCAAACGCCCATGACGCTTATTACGTCTTTTTGTATGACGGACCAGAGATTCTAAAACACCACCTTCCGCTCTCGTGGCAGATGCTTCATCGTCCCGATCGAATCTGCGACAAGGCGTGAACACTCAGAATATCCCTCTACAGCTATGGTGACTGGTTGAACGTCCTGATTGGGAGCTAGACAGCTACTGTCTCATACTAAAACATGCCGAAGATATTCTAATGTCATAGTATATTCTGTAACAATCATTTAGTGTTCAAAACCTGAGGCAGAATTAGTTTCAAACCAATAATCCGTACCAGAATAACACTTGATAAGTCTTAGTCTGAGAGAGAGGCTTGACTTTCACGCCATGCTTTGCATTATTTGAAGAGTGAGTGAGTGAGTGAGTGAGTGACTGAGTTTAGTTTTAAGACGCACTCAGCAATATTCCAGCTATATGGTGGCGGTCTGTAAATAATCGAGTCTGTCTGGACCAATCCAGACAATCCAGTGATCAACAGCATGAGCATCGATCTGCGCGACTGGGGACCGATAACATGTGTCAACCAAGTCAGCGAGCCTGACCACCCGATCCCCGTAGTCGCCTCTTACGACAAGCATGGGTTACTGAAGATCAATATTCTAACCTGGACCTTCACGGGTATATTTGAAGACGGAGGAAGGCCACAAGATGACTGGCAATATAATTGAACCTGAGTCTTTGATATGTCGAAGAAAAAGCTTCTCATTTTGCGGGTGTGTCGAACATCGAATAATTCGATGTATGTACGCAAGACCTTGCAGCTTTGACACAGCTGTGTCGTACGGAATGTGACTCAGATCATATTGTGCGCATAAAAGGCATGCGCAATACAAATTTCCCTTATGCGTTTCCGTAGTATTTTCCTGTTCGTACTTGAGCTAGAGATGCCTCGCCTTCAAGCTGGGCCACAATGTACAGGTACGTAGATTGATGATATTTACTCTAAACGTTTTGTGAATTACATTGTTGTGGCGTTGTTTGCCTGATTTGTGATTGTTTGATGTTAATGCCGCATTCAGGAGTTTTCTATACATATCTAAATATGCAAATATCCAGCCTGTGCCCTTTCTCACTGGAACAAAGGAATTGAAGTTTCGGTTTCACATAATGATCACTGAGAGAGAGTGATGAATTGTTTTGTCCTTATTTCAGGTTTGAACACAACTTGCCTAAAATATATTACTGACTAAATAAAATGCATCGCGAAATCCATCAAAATGGCTTCTGATAAATGCAACATCTGGTTTGAGTTTCTAGTTATTGAATATTATAAACCACACCTTCACAGTGGGCATCTGCATCAATCTATACAGATACAACACACACAATTAGCTAAACCATCGCGACAGACTACCCGGTCCCTTTTTAGTCGGCATGAACAGGATTTGATAATATTCTTTAATGTGCGTTTGCACAAATTGAATGATTGACTTAAAAATCGTAAAAGTTTGTGACGACTTATTTAGCCCGTCATGGTACCAGGTCAAAGTGACCTGTGTATAAATAGCATACGCTTTACAATCCGGACAAATGAGTCGTTCCCAGTCGAGTCCACAATAGACAGATTCCACTGTAATATAACGCCATTTAATAGAGAGGACACATTGGGTGGAGGCAGGTAATAAAGTACAAAGGCGAAAAAACTCGCCCAAACATAAGAAGATGCACCAGACCTCTGTTTGAAACACGCTTCCCTAGGAATGTTTAATATCACAAGAGTGTTGTTGTGGTGAATGGCTATTTTAGCAAATTTTCTCAAGTCCCAAAGTTAATAGCGACGGGAACATTTGTCTGTCATCCTTCAACAACATCGGTTCGATGCCACTCTACAGGCACAATGCAACGATTCCCTTCCTCTGTTACTATCAATGTTTGTAGATATATTTGTACACATAAAGTATTTGCGTAAACAATCTCTAACTTTATGTAAACTAATACACATATAATTTCTGATATATATGTACTAACCTCCAAATGACGCATCTTACAAATACAATAAGATACCATTTTTAATCATAAAACAGGCATTTTGAAAAGAAACCACAAAACGAGCACACACTTGCTTAATAAACTCAAGTATTTCATTCATTTAAAAACACGCCTCTCTTTGCCTATCCATTTTCCACTCGTTTTTCCGAACTTCGTCGTATTGTATAAAATCATTGTTTAAAACATTATTTTGTTTCCGCGTGTGATGCATTGGTTTCAAGCAACACACATCCTCTTTCATGAACAAAATGCTCCCATGAAGGAATTGATCCTTTCCCATTGTATGAAATATTGTCACAGCTGCGGTTGTACAATAAATGTCCGCATCTGCCGGGGCACTCGTGACTTGTGACTTTCCGTCGTTGTTTGTTACACTTGGATATAAAGATCAATGATTGAAGCAGGTAGAAACCAAAACGTAAGAGCCCCAGAATGCTTGTATCCCGTATGCATTGATTGTACCAAGATAGGAAAATGAATATTTCATGTTTGAATGTCCATTTTATAATAATTTAAGATGTGTAATTTTACCTGGATATTTCTGGGGAAAAACATACATCAAATCAACTGTTTCATACTGCCATGCCAAGTACACATTTCCTGGTTTGTAGAAACGCACTAATTTTGTGGCCGTTTAAAGTCATGATATATTTATACCTCTAACAGAACTATGTTCATGCATTGTCTGTGCATTAATAATGTTTTCTTTTTAACAATGTCATGTGGTCTTATTACGGAAATAAACAGACAGCAGCTTATAAAAATAGTAATATATATGAGGATGATACGATGTAAAGATATAGAGATTTACAGCTACTAGCATATACGATAATAGGATACACAGATATTAAGACAAACGAACATTATGATTTTAGGGCTGCTGGAACTAGAACAAACACTATATGCTACGATATAATGATAGAAGGATATAAAGTTACAAGGATATAAATATACTGAAAAGCAGGATATAAAAGGAGGACAAACAGATGCTTTGATCGGGATGTGCTGATGCTAAAATTTGAATTGCATGAGGATATACATGGGTAGAAGCTTAAACATAAAGTTTGACATAGGGAAATTGTGGCATAATGATACGAGAATTACTCAACACTAAGATATAGATGGGTTGATATATCATAAACCAAGATATAAGGCTACTAGGAAAATAGATCTTAGAACAAACAGATACAGAAATATAAGGACAGTAGGATTAAGTGAATAACAGATACTAGGTTGACACCAGGGTATAGGATGCAGGATATAACATATTAGTGTAGAGGCCATAACATTTCCGAGTCCCGTGCTGGGATTCGAACCACGGACCTTCTGATCAGAAGTCGGACTTCTTGTCCACATGACCAAAGAGGTTAACACCGTCAGCAAGATGACGAGGTAAGGATGTCATCTGTGGGATGACTACCCGCCCTGCTACATACTCCCCCGTCAACAGAAGGCACGTCCCGAGCCGCATAGTTGGGTACTGAGACTTATTTTACTCAAATTTCATATGAACGTGCCCAGCCCACGTTGGGCTCCAATGTAGCGGCCATACAATTTCCGAATCCCGTGCTGCGATTCGAACCAAGGATCTTCTGATCAGAAGTCGGACGCCTTGTCCACATGACCAAAGAGGTTAACCCTGTCAGCAAGCTGACAAGGTAAGGATGTCATCTGTGGGATGACTCCACGCCCTGCTACATTAGGGTAAACATATACCAGGATATTAGGATGGTAGAGGTAGGTGATACTAGGTTATATTGATACTAGCATGTAACATATTAGGATAAATGTATTCTTGGATATAAGGGTAGTAGGAGTCGATGATATTCGGGTAAAGAGAATACTAGGATACAACATATTAGGGTAAATATATTCTTGGATATAAGGGTAGAAGGATTGATACCAAGATACAGGAGACTAAGACATAACATTTTTGGATAAGTATATACTAGGGTATAAGGGTATTTGGATGTAAAGATACTTGGAGATATCAGTGATATGTGATAAATATATATGTATATGCAAACTATAATAAACAGAAAATATGATCGCAGGGTATAAAAATACAAGGAACTAAGAATAGTAGGATTTCAAAATACCGTTGTATAACGATCGTGGGATAAACATACTCTGTGATATCAGGATAGCCTGATTTAGAGATAGTGGTATATAACAATACCAGAATATACTAGGATGTAATGATAATAGGACAGAAAACTAAAGGAAGTAGGATATCGAGATATAAGGACATAGACGTAAAGTATACCAGAATATAAGGATTACAAGGCTTAGTAATGATAGCAGAATATGTACTAAGATATAAGGATATCAGCATAAGTAATACGGATATCAGCATTATAGGCTGTAAGGATCCTAGGCTATAAGGAGTGTTTGAGATACTTGGTTATACTGATACCAGGATACAAGGTGCTAAGATATAAGGATATGCAATATACAATATCATGTTGATATCTATTCCGAAGGAAAATGGAAGTCTCTCCAGCTATGACTGTTGAAGAATATGAGTGCAAGATACAGCTGGCCATAGCGGAAGTCAACACACAGAATGATAAAACTGTGAAAAGTCTTTATGATCTGGCTGATGAACTGGACAAAGCACAGCGGAAAATGAACATAGCTAAAACCAGTTTTGCATCTGGCGGCATTGTTGCAGCAGCACTTACTATAGCAGGGATTGCTTGTGCCCCAGCTACCTTTGGTGCTTCTCTGGGGTTGACCATTGCAGGACTGACTCTTGGAGTAACCAGCGGGGTCGGCGGCGTGAGCACTGAATTGGCAAATAAAATTATCAATGACAAAGTTTTGGGCAAAGCTCAGCAGGAAGCTAACATTTATCACGAAAAGGGTCAGTCTTTGCTTCTATTAATGGACAATATGAGAAAACAGTACGGAAGTAAGTTTAAAACGTTTTTAATGGATAAAGTGAAAGGAAAGCTGAAACCCAAACATTTTGAAACGATATCGAGTCATGGAACAACGGCTGTCAAAATCATTGAAAAAATCAGCAAAACTGGTACAAAAGGACTTAAAGGCGGTGGCATTGCGCCATGCGCTCTGACTATCCCTCTAAATGTATATGCCATAGTTGCAAACAGCATCAAAATTCATAAGAACACACCATCTGACACTGCAGAAGAAATTCGGAGAATCGCAGAGGAATTAAAGGACAGAGAAGGTATGAAAATACACTTGGTTATATGGTGATTGCCTTTATGGCATAATACCGGACTTCAGCACACATCTTTACCTTGGTCATATGGTTTAACTATTATTACATTCTCGAAGAGACTTGAAAATGTATGTTATCAATGTAACTGGACTGTACCCAATTTGAATATACAGTAAAAAACTGTTTATTCTGATCTTGTGAAATCAAGTGACAAATTAGCTTGCTGGAATATATTAAAATATTCGAGTTTATTCGATTCATGGGTTAAGACACCATCCACATGTTTCAGCTGCGTCTGTTGAAGTTCAAAAACTGAGGAGAAGAGTTGAAGAGATGGAGAGGAGCCAGGAGAAAAACTGTCAGGCTTGGGATGAGGCAAAGAAGAAGATTGAAGAAGACATCACTGAGGAAATGGAATCTATTGCCATAGAATATGAATACGTGAGAAGAGTGTTCCTAAGATCAAATCGGTTCGCTCTTATTGTTGAAGCCATTTTAACCGCAGTTATATCAGTTTTCACTGCGTTCAGCTCTGGAGATGAAGGATGGCTGCCTTATTTTGGAAAGTATGCCTTAGTCATGTACGACGTGTTTCTGTTAAGTTTCGAACTTTTCCCGCTACTTTATGGATACAACTGCTTGTTCCGCGCAAAAGCGACATGGAAACAACAGACGTATGGTATTGAGATTGTGATAGCCCTACACCCAGGAACACCCTCGCGTGGAAACCAGCCAGGGACAACGTGGACAGCCCTCCCCAATTATGCCAGACGTACTTTTGATGAGAATTTTTTTATTTTATTTCAAATCAAAATCTTTTTGGACTGTTTTTTATTATATTGAAATGTATGCTAACCATGTATATCTTGTTTGGGTCTTATCACAATGTTCCTGAGGAGGGCCTTCCTGCTCAGTATGATATGTATAAGCCTGACACCTCTCTGATGATTGGCCTTCTCTTTCCCTTGTCTGTAATTCCAATAGAGTCTAGTGATGTTTGGAGTCCTGATTTGTACATATTGTCCTTGGCAATGACTATCTTTATGCTTGTAAAATCTTATAAGGATTCGAACGATGATCTGTCTGACGTGGCGATAGAAATCCAACATCTTCCTGTTGAGTTTAAAGCCAGACTCAGGGAATTGATGAAACAAATGTAGACATGTTTCTGGTTTTGTGAAGGATATAAACAGGAATAGAACACGTTTTACATTTTGTTTAGGGTATATAATGGTAATATACTCATAATGAAGAGAATATACAAAATATTCCGTGAACATATAATTGGTGTTTTTTACTATATACTTACCGTACTTACTTAATTCAAATCCTTAATTCGAAAACTCGTATCATAATGTATTCGTGATGTTCTCCCAAAAACATCTGTGGGCACATCTGCGTCCAAAATGTATCTGCATTTTTAATCATCTGAAGGCTCCAAGATGTGTGTGAAGCATCCTTGACTCGGGACTCGGGACATAAACTTGATATATATATAATCGTGAAATAATTTTGCTTTGTCACTCGCTAAAGCTCGTGACAAAGCATAATTATTTCAGTCGGGACATAAACTTGATATGAAAGGGGAAGCTCGTTTGATATCCTATAATTCAGTAACCCAGGCTTGTCGTAAGACGCGACTAACGGGATTGGGAGGTCAGTCTTGGTCAGACTTGGGGGACACATGTCATCACATCCCAATTGCGTAGATCGATGCTCATGCTGTTGTTCACTGGATTGCCTGATCCATACTCGATTATTTACTGACTGCCGCCATATGGCTGGAATACTGCAGAATGCGGCGTTAAACAACAATCAATCAATTAGTCAGACTAAAACATGACAAGAAACACAATTATGTACACATTCATTTAACAATCTAACAACCTACTTCGGTTGTCAGTCAAGACGCGATGAGGTAATTTTACGATGTCGTATTGGTCACAGTCAGTTCACTCATGACTATCTGCTGAAAACGGATGGAGATGGGCTTCCTGTGCGTATCTCTTGCGATGAAGTGTTCACCATCAAGCATAATATGCTTGAGTGTGTGGACCTTTCAAAAACGGACTTATTATGAAACATAATCTGAAAGATCTGTTTTCCCGCGTGACGTGTACCATCAATTGTAACTTTGTAATGTGAATGACGGATTACTTGTTTTTAAACTTGGTGCTATAACATTTTCTGTTGTAAATAATAACGTAATGAATAAATATGCTTTTGAAAAGCCCAACTCATTTGAGCATTGTACTTAAAATATTTATGTGTGCAGACTTGGTCTCGTCGCTGTATGGGTGGGATGATGCCGATGCGGCGTAAAACTCAACTCAACTCAGCACATTCATTCTCAGTTGTATTTCAAACCATGAATCGGAATAACTTCATTCCTGATAATGAAAGTAAACATCTTTGATGATGATTCAACTGGTAATGGCTTCCACCTCTTGGAGACAACTTCAAATGTATAACAGTAGAATCCACCGATTAATTGTCGCAAACAGTCATAGGAACACGTTCTTCAATGTTAGAATGTCTTCCAAAGTAACCTAGAACTGCTGATTTACTCGAATTGCCTGCCAATCCAGATTGTCATCTTTATGTACCTGCAACACTAACAAAGATATTCAATATGTCAAAGAAGCTTAAACTTGTTCTCGTCACTATATGGCTGGAAATGCCGATGTGACGTAAATCCAAGCTCAACTCAACGTTATCTATACGTTAATCACTATTATGATAGTATACCCTTCATTTGTACTGCTTTCGAACTATCACCACCCTGTATGTATGTAACGCACATGGTCTGTGGCCTTTGTACTGAATAATCTTCTTCTTCGTGTCATGAGCCGAAATTTGACACTTGCTGAGAGACATCACTATGATCTAATAACCACCCTGTATGTATGTAACGCACATGGCCTGTGGCCTTTGTACTGAATAATCTTCTTCTTTGTGTCATGAAGCCGAAGTTTGACACTTGCTGAGAGACATCACTATGATCTAATAACCACCCTGTATGTATGTAACGCACATGGCCTGTGGCCTTTGTACTGAATAATCTTCTTCTTTGTGTCATGAAGCCGAAGTTTGACACTTGCTGAGAGACATCACTATGATCTAATAACCACCCCACCTTTCCATGTTCTCTCTCAAGATGTGTTTTCTTACATTATTTGGTCTTTGCTATCTTGTGGCGGTGAGTTATATCATATTCATGCTTCACATACATCGATTGTTATTTAATATTGGGAGAGCTTATTTTAAATCTCAAGCTATGTCCGTGAAGCATGAATATATATATTCATATTCATATATATGTCTATCAAATTGTATTACATGCCAATTTAGACAGCAATATAGACGATCCTAAGTGAATACGGTGATCTGAAGGGAATTCCATATTACAGGGCTGCCGGATTTTGAACTTCACTAATTTTCAAGAACTTTTAACAGACGGTCAAAAGATGCGTCCCAAATAAAGTTTCTCAAAACATTATAGTTGTTAAATGGAAGATATTTTGAGTCAAATATTATTCTTGTTGTGTTTCGGAGTGATACTCGGGTCACGGTAACCTAACTGCGGAAGTTTCAATAGTAACGTTTAGACTTGGAACCGTCAGGGGAAAGGTTTATAATAAACATAGAACGTCGTGATACCGCATTTGGACCTTATGTATTGAACGTGGTATTTCTCTCCCACTATAACATCTTCGGTCTTCAGACTCATTCTTTCTCTCGCACCATGATACCTCTAATGAAATGGACGGTTTGCCCCTAAACAAGTAGGACAAACCTAGTGCCAGGCCATATCGCGATGATGTTTCCGGGCGACATAGATATGGCCCGAATCATCCACCATAGTAACAGGAGGAATCTGTGTCGATGGGACAACCACAAGCTATCAATTTCCTTATGTGAGTAACGCTGCCTGTAACTCAACACTCAGACAAAACACTCAGTCCAGGCAAGCCGAGAGCATTATCTGGTACGTGTCTGTGTTTATCTGACTACTATACTCTGGGCTGGAATAGCTGGCCATTACCTATTCACCTCATGTCACTTTGTGACAGGTTGGCTGGAAAATAGGAGATGAATACATTTACATTGAAATTTGTGATTGTATTTGTAAGCGACTGTTACATTAATTCCGGTAAAAAATCTACAGCTAACGCAGCTCAACATTCTGTCAAGAGCAAATCTCTGTGTGTGTGTGTGTGTGTGTGTGTGTGTGTGTGTGTGTGTGTGTGTGTGTGTGTGTGTGTGTGTGTGTGTGTGTGTGTGTGTGTGATTCTTATCCAGGGCACGTAGGCGTTGATTTTCAGCAAGTCTTGGCATTACCTACATGCTTAAATCTCTAGTTAAACAAAAGTGTTTCATGAGTAACTGATAGCTGAACAATCATTTTGAGTTGTTCACATTAAAATTATACATTCACACGTAAACATCATGCTCCCAGCCAGCATGCCAACATCCAAATCCAACTGTGAATTGCGACCTTCATGTCCAGGGGTTTTCGAAACGAATCTGTTTTGAAATATGCATCAATTAATTGATTAATTTATAAAAAAAAATCTCGTATTCTTTAAACTGTACATAAAGCAGTTAGTTTTAGTTGGTATTTATTGACGTTTATTAGTTGTTACTGCAATAATAGTATATATTCGTATGTAAGCATTTATATTTCATAGATGTATGTCTGTCCATACATACCCTGTATGTTCATATTTATTCCAAAGGAAAATGGCGGTCTCTCCAGCCATGACTGTTGACGAATATGAGGACAAAATACAGCTGGCAATAGCGGAAGTCAACACACAGAATGATAAAACTGTGAAAAGTCTTTATGATTTGGCTGATGAACTGGACAAAGCACAGCGGAAAATGAACATAGCTAAAACCAGTTTTGCATCTGGAGGCATTGTTGCAGCAGCACTTGCTATAGCAGGGATTGCTTGTGCCCCAGCTACCTTTGGTGCTTCTCTTGGGTTGACCATTGCTGGGGTGACTCTTGGAGTGACCAGCGGGGTAGGGGGATTATGCACAGAGGTTGCAGATAAAATCATTAATACCAAGACCTTAAGAAAAGCCCAGAAAGAAGCCAAAGTGTTTCATGAAAGAGGGAAGGATATGCTGTATCTGATGGACAACATGGAAGGAAGACATACAAGCAAGTTCAAAACATTTTTCGCTAATACGGTGAAGAGATTGCTGATACCAAATCTGTTTGAATCAATACTGAACCGTCTTAAGGGCAAACCGTCCAAAAGTAGTGATGGTGCTGAACCAGTTAAGTTTGGGGCCCGTGTTGGGGCTACATTAGGTACAGCCAAAGTCGCCACAGAGTTTGTAGAAACGGGACTAAAAGGAGTGAAAGCTGCAGGTGTGGTGATGAATTTGCTGACTGTGCCGCTAGATATTCATACAATAGTCACCAACAGCATCAAAATTCACAAGAAAACTCCGTCCCAAACTGCAGAAGAAATTCGGAGGATAGCGGATAATTTAAAAGGAAAAGAGGGTAAGTGTACGATCCTAATTACCTCGTTTCAAATGCATGGCTTAACAAACGAAACAATGTATCTCACTGGCAAATATTTAGAAAGTCTATTATTTGTAAACAGATTGTCCACAACATCACTTTTGTACTAACTTACCTTTACTAACTCAGTTTCAGAGCCGTCTGACGAAGTGCTGAAGCTAAGGAAGAGAATTGAAGACATGACGAGAGAACAAGAGAAACATTCCCAGACCTGGGAGGAGTCGAAAGAAACTATTTCAGAAGACATCAGTGTTGAAATGGAAATTATTTCCATGGAGTATGAATATGTCAGGCAGGTTTTGTTGAGGTCAAAATGGTTCACCCTTCTTGTGGAGGCTGTGATAGCTTCAGTAGTTTCCCTGCTTACAGTTTGTTTATGTTTCGAAGGTGGAGGGTGGGTACGTGCCATTGCACATGGAACCTTAGTGTTGTACAACGTCCTTCTGCTTGTCTTCGAACTTTTGCCCCTCATCTATAAGTACTACTGTGTATACAGAGCGAAGTCAGTATTGAGACAACACACATATGCCATGGAACACATGATCAAAGTTTATCCGAGAAAACCATCCAAAAGACACCCACAGGAGGAAACAAGCCAACAGGCTATAGCTGGTCAAGGCACATTTTCGTTTGACTATAAGATATCAAATCAAAACTGCTTTGAATTACTTTTCGTTACTCTTAAGTGTTTCCTTACGATTTATATTTTGTTTTGGCCTTTTGGATATAGCCCCGACTTTGATTCTGATCAAATTGACATAGGAAGTCCATCAGAGACATCTTACATCAGAGCGGTCATTGGCGTGTTCTTCCCAATGTCTTACCCACGTGTCAGTTCCATGCATGTGCTGACTCCTGACCTCTACATGTTGTCTCTCACGATGGCTGTTTTCATGCTGCTCCAGTCGTTCCAAGATTTGCGAAACACGATCACGCCTGACTTAGTAGAAGATTTAAAAAATCTCGCTGATGATTTTAATTGCCGACTCAAAGCTTTAATGAAATGTATGTAACTTGTTTATGTTTTAGTCGCCTGTACAGACCTTCTATCACTTGAAACTGGGGACTGATATGCTCTGGTTCTTTTAAATGTTTAAAGAGTTTCTATTTGGATATTTTGTTTATGTGAGAAAATTTACCTTCCCGTGTTCTCCAGTGTAAAATTGACAGTATTGTGTTATTGTTAACAAGACAAAATTGCTGTTGTCTTTTGACAAGAACCTTATACATCCCAACCTTGAAAGCGTAAATCACTGTATGTTTTCTTTATCACAACTGGTCTTCCTGGTGTCATTTTGTATACACAAAGAACTTAATCAAGCAACCCCTACATGTTTGTACCACGATGGAGAAAGAGTGTTTTTCTGACCCCTTTGATACATAAAAAACGACATAATGACTGGAATCCATGTAGATTTTATGATGATAATTGCTCATTTTGAAAAAAACCCCACTGATTTTCATAAAAACCATCTTTGTACATGTATGTCCATGGAATGTTTATTGTTGAATTTATTGGTGAATGTGAGCATTCAAAATGTCATTTGGCGTGTCTTAAACGATTCAAGGTCAATACCGAGTGTAGCCTCCATGTGACTGTATTAGAGCCAGCACTCTCTCCTCATACCCCCTGTCAGCATCCTGATCCTCTGAAAAGGCAGTCTACGCCATTCCTCGTATAAAGCAGCTTTCAATTGGGTCAGAATCTGTACAGGAGGATCCCTTTGTTGCACTCAACCACTAATACATGTACCAGATATGCTCCAAAGGGTTAAGATCGGGGCTCATCCAATCGTGAGATATGTCGGGGTGCTTAAATAAGTTCTTTGTGTATATGTACAAATGTATTTTCCGTTTATTATGTGATCGTTATTGCGGTTACGTTTTCGAAGCGTTATACATAATTATGTTTTCCGTTGTTTAACGCCATTCTCCGGAATACTCTTCCTATGTAACAGCCTTCTATGAATAATATCGATAGTCCACAGTACTCAGTAATTGGCCAGGTATTTGACTGACATCATAATTATAACTTCTTTGAGTGGCATTTTAGAAGTTGGGAAGTACAATATAGAACAAACTTTATGTATAACAACTTCTTTTTATTCGTGAGTGAGACGTTTCGATACTGATTCTTGTACCGTTGTCAAGCAGGAATGGATCATGAAGAAGGGGGAAGTATGTATATATACTGAATGTAACAATGTAACAAAGAAAACAACATAATTAACATAATTGGCTAGGCAGTAAGCTGATGAAGCCAGAGAGTAGACAAAGGACAGGCGTGGAAGCCAATGATGTACAAATAATAATCAGCTTACTGCCTAGCCAATTATGTTAATTATGTTGTTTTCTTTGTTACATTCAGTATATATACATACTTCCCCCTTCTTCATGTTCCATTCCTGCTTGACAACGGTACAAGAATCAGTATCGAAACGTCGCACTCACGAATTAAAAGAAGTTGTTATACATAAAATTTGTTCCTTATCATAATTATACGCATTTGGTAAAAAAATATGTGACAAACCAGTCAGTGAGCATGACTACCCCATTCCGTTAATTGCCTCTTTCCACAAGCATGGATCGAACAATTCTTCACGGGTCGAGGGTTTGCCAGGTTTCTGAGTAAATTTACATTCATTTCCGTCTGTTTTATTGTGATTCAGTATTAGCGACGATGTCAACATGCAATCATATATTTCCTTATTTGACAATGCCCATTGTATGAAAATGTCACGGAGGGCAATGACATATGATATATGGAATGTCATTATCTCAGCTCTTACTCCGATAAATTACTCTCTACGTGAAGTTCTCGTAACCGTTCATGGGGTGCTTCAGATGTACCATGTACTCAAACAGCGTAGATCCTTCAAAGTTAACATTACGAGAGAAGCCTTCACAGAAGCGTATCTGCATTCCGAATACCAACAAGAAGGAGCAGTTCCGAATGATATAAAATCAAGTCCGTGCTATTTTCTGGGGTTTAGTTGTGTTTACTTATTTCCCGTGTTAAGATAGAAATTTTCATATCCATGTGGTCAATATATAATGCCATTAAAATGACGGACATCTGATTGGCCGAAGAATTGACTGTCCAAATCTCTGGAGTCGTCACATGAGCGACCTGTACTTCTTTGAAGCACGACACGTTTGTGTTGGAAGTACTGAACGTTAGGATGTCCTTCATACCGTTACTTTCAGCTCTGAATGATCCCCCCAGAGTTGGGAGTGGTACTATTATATCTACAGGAAAGGAAAGTTGTGGACCTAGACTTTTTGGAGGATATGATTTTGTATGCTCAGTGTCCACTTTATATAATTCCCAAAGATATTCATGATACTTTACATTTACGTTCCGTGGATTAAGTATGTGGATGACGTTTCACAATTAGTATTCTAAAAATGGATTGGAAACATTTACAAATGTAGGCCTCATCAACACGTCCTCATAGTGACTGACAAAGGGAGTTGGTGTTGAGTGTTTTCAAGGAAAATAAATTACGAAACTAATTGGGCTAAATACGAGGATGTTTTTCATGAAATGGGAAGTTCGTTGTGTTTTTCCAGTGCTGACTGATATATTTCCGCAGATGAAAGGGTGCATATAAACATTCTGTTTGAGCAGAACAGACTCAAGATGGAAAAAAATAAGAATGTTATAATACAAACCTCAGTCTGCGAGCGTAGATATTCATGATAGCTAAAACACGTTTGAAATATACTGTGAATAAAATGTTAAGCGCCATCATAATTTGGTTTAGTACTTTTAGTTGAAAAACAAAACCATTATGGAAATTATCTTTTACTTTAAACAGGATGTATGCGCTTTTGGAAACGTGCATTTTGTTTTCCGCAAAAAGGTTACCTTGTTTTGAAAAGTGAAAATCAGAAATGACTGTTATATGGTCACATGATTGTCATTTTGACAAGTGAAACCTAAGTTTAATAGTGTTGTATGAGCAGAATAGGAATAGTTATTTTGCTGTCAAAAGCAGTGCCATCATATCTTTAACAATATTTCCTTTAATTGTAAATACAAATGTTTATGATATCCCTAAATCAGTTACCAGATGAACCTTCTCTAAATATGGATTGGTCTTCACAATTATTTTAGCCTAACATTTCCACAGCTTCACATCTTAGTTTTGAACTTAACTTTTAATTCTTTGTATAGTACACCCTCGCTGGTTTTAACTGTTTATCCTGCTTACGCCAGTGTGTGGAATTCTGTCTTGATTTGCACAATTTGTACACAATGTTTAAAGGCCATCTTACTTTCATAAATTCTGTAAAGATATATATACACCATATAGCCGGACTTCCAGCCAGGCCCGGTGCTTATTAGAGGCCCCATGCTTACTGGGTGTAATAAATTATTTCTTAACTGCTGCTTTACACAGCAGTGCTTATTACAGGAAATAGGGTATTCCACTCAGATTCCATTAACCTTTGTCAACATCTGACAAAGACTCTTCAGACAGGTGTGACAGCTTCTAAATTCTGGATGTGTCCACATAAGCATTTAGCGCAGTAAATGTCACTTGCCATCTTGAAAACAAGGTGAACTAGCATTTTCAATAAAGAAAAATGACCACAATTCGTGGTCCAAATTCAGCCTCTCCCTTTGTATCATCCTTGATAATCTCCAGGGTATACCTTACAATAACTATTCACTATACCCTGGATGCATCCAAGGATTTTATTACCTCCCTTAGCTGGCTCCGCATTCTCACAGTAGCCAATCAGCTAAGCCCCCGTTACAACTGAGCTTGCCAGTGTCAACAAAGATAGTGGTCGCGGTCGCGAAGGTTTGTTCGCAGTGCCACTCAGAGTTTTGGGGAAATAATAAAGACAAATTGACAGATCTGAAACTTTAAAAAAATATATGAAAGCACTCCTTCTACTTCTTTCAGAGTACCTCTGTCTGCATCAATTGTGATGCCAAGTTAAAGAGGTTAGATAATTTAAGAAGCGAAAGTGAGTTGTGATTTGTACAGTCAACTTCCCAGCGTAGGCACCTGATTGGATAAAAAGCAGCCAAGGGAGGTAATAAAATCATCGCCCCAAGCCTTTGTCTCCAACGCCATCACAACAGTTTGTCTTTATACAACATTTATTGAGCACCAACCTCATTTCATTTCTATGTACATGTTTCGTTCTTTTTACACAATAATGCCTTGTGATTCATGAACCAAAGATGTTAATGAGAAACAAAGAAATCGCATGATTTCAAAGTATATGCAGTTGGCACCAGCATAACATTCACATTGAGATTGTAATAAAACCATGATTTACGTAAGAAATGACACTGGTTCATAATATACCATTTACAGATGTCACAATGACGATCATCACAATATGAAGTGATGAAGCGTTCATGTATACAACTGACTTTATCACATGATAGATTAACATCATATGGAAAAATCTGGTGTTCTGTAACATATTTTGATCACCATACATGACAACTTAGCACAACATAATAGCACATTACGGTCCCATTGTATCAACACACTTCCCATCCATTCAACACAGACAGACCCTTGTATCCTTCGTGTTGCCTGTAGACACATCCATCACACAGGACATTGCTAAACTTGAAGAATCTGAATACTTCACCAATTATTTCCTCTCCTAATACTGATACAGGACAGTAAACTTAAATTCGTTCCACATGACATGCTGATGATGAAGTTGTAACCTGATCAGAGTACTGCAGTTCATACAGATCCAACCACGTCTTTCAACCAAAATGTTATGTCACTCACTCAAAACTGCCATCATGTTTTCTTCTGTAAAACTAACATCAGTGTATCCAGTACTGTTTAAGGCTCTTATAAAAACATGAACATTTGAAATGCAGACTGCTATCCATGACATTCTGATTAAGAAGTTCAGAACCATCCTGAAATGCATCCTTTCTCATCGGGAATTTTAGACTCTGTTATGCTAATGTCTTTGTTTTCATGTTGCGAGACTTTCACAGCCTCAGACCTAGCATACACCTATACTCTTTTCGTATAATTCCCCTGCCAACCACAATATATTCCTTGTGCTGAGTTTGTTCGGTGAACATCCTCAATGATCAAGGACTTTGCAGTCTCATTTGACAGGTCTCAGGGATGTACAATATATCTTTGTAATGTTGTGGTCCTATAAGCGCTCCAGCTTGGACTGAAGACTCTTGAACTGACTGATGAGCCTCCGGACTGTCTGGTCAGCGCTGCTCCTGGCCTGGAGCTCCACCAGGTAGCTGGACACAGCATCCAGACACACTGTTGAGAACCGCCTCCTGCAACACAGTCAGTCGTACAGTAACAGGTGCGTACATGACCCCCACAGTCGTCAGTCGTACAGTAACAGGTTCGTACATGACCCCCCACAGTTGTCAGTCGTACAGTAACAGGTTCGTACATGACCCCCACAGTAGTCAGTCGTACACAGTAACAGGTTCGTATACGACCCCGCAGTAGTCAGTCGTACAGTAACAGGTTCGTACATGACCCCCACAGTAGTCAGTCGTACAGTAACAGGTTCGTACATGACCCCCACAGTAGTCAGTCGTGCAGTAACAGGTTCGTACATGACCCCCACAGTAGTCAGTCGTACAGTAACAGGTTCGTACATGACCCCCGCAGTAGTCAGTCGTACAGTAACAGGTTCGTACATGACCCCCACAGTAGTCAGTCGTACAGTAACAGGTTCGTACATGACCCCCACAGTTGTCATTTCACAGTAGTCAGTCGTACAGAAACAGGTTCGTACATGACCCCCACAGTTGTCATTTCACAGTAGTCAGTCGTACAGAAACAGGTTCGTACATGACCCCCACAGTTGTCATTTCACAGTAGTCAGTCGTACAGAAACAGGTTCGTACATGACCCCCACAGTTGTCATTTCACAGTAGTCAGTCGTTGCAGAAACAGGTTCGTATTATGACCCCCACAGTTGTCATTTCACAGTAGTCAGTCGTACAGAAACAGGTTCATACATGACCCCCACAGTTGTCATTTCACAGTAGTCAGTCGTACAGTAACAGGTTCGTACATGACCCCCACAGTTGTCATTTCACAGTAGTCAGTCGTACAGTAACAGGTTCGTACATGACCCCCACAGTAGTCAGTCGTACAGAAACAGGTTCGTACATGACCCCCACAGTTGTCATTTCACAGTAGTCAGTCGTACAGTAACAGGTTCGTACATGACCCCCACAGTAGTCAGTCGTACAGAAACAGGTTCGTACATGACCCCCACAGTTGTCATTTCACAGTAGTCAGTCGTACAGTAACAGGTTCGTACATGACCCCCACAGTAGTCAGTCGTACAGAAACAGGTTCATACATGACCCCCACAGTTGTCATTTCACAGTAGTCAGTCGTACAGTAACAGGTTCGTACATGACCCCCACAGTTGTCATTTCACAGTAGTCAGTCGCATAGTAACAGGTTCATACATGACCCCACAGTAGTCAGTCAGGTTGACAGTAACAGGTTCGTACACGCATGACCCCACAGTAGTCAGTCGTCAGATAGCAGAAACAGGTTCATACATGACCCCACAGTTGTCATTTCACAGTAGTCAGTCGTTACAGAAACAGGTTCGTTACATGACCCCCACAGTTGTCATTTCACAGTAGTCAGTTCATTACAGAAACAGGTTCGTACATGACCCCCACAGTTGTCATTTCACAGTAGTCAGTCGTACAGAAACAGGTTCGTACATGACCCCCACAGTTGTCATTTCACAGTAGTCAGTCGTACAGAAACAGGTTCGTACATGACCCCCACAGTTGTCATTTCACAGTAGTCAGTCGTACAGTAACAGGTTAGCAGTACATGACCCCACAGTTGTCATTTCACAGTAGTCAGTCGTAGCAGTAACAGGTTCGTACATGACCCCCACAGTAGTCAGTCGTACAGAAACAGGTTCGTACATGACCCCCACAGTTGTCATTTCACAGTAGTCAGTCGTACAGTAACAGGTTCGTACATGACCCCCACAGTAGTCAGTCGTACAGAAACAGGTTCGTACATGACCCCCACAGTTGTCATTTCACAGTAGTCAGTCGTACAGAAACAGCTTCGTACATGACCCCCACAGTTGTCATTTCACAGTAGTCAGTCGTACAGAAACAGGTTCGTACATGACCCCCACAGTTGTCATTTCACAGTAGTCAGTCGTACAGAAACAGGTTCGTACATGACCCCCACAGTTGTCATTTCACAGTAGTCAGTTGTACAGAAACAGGTTCGTCACATGACCCCCACAGTAGTCAGTCGTACAGTAACAGGTTCGTACATGACCCCCACAGTTGTCATTTCACAGTAGTCAGTCGTACAGAAACAGGTTCGTACATGACCCCCACAGTTGTCATTTCACAGTAGTCAGTCGTACAGAAACAGGTTCGTACATGACCCCCACAGTTGTCATTTCACAGTAGTCAGTCGTACAGAAACAGGTTCGTACATGACCCCCACAGTTGTCATTTCACAGTAGTCAGTCGTACAGTAACAGGTTCGTACATGACCCCCACAGTTGTCATTTCACAGTAGTCAGTCGTACAGTAAACAGGTTCGCATACATGACCCCACAGTTGTCATTTTCACAGTAGTCAGTCGTTCGCAGAAACAGGTTCGTACGACCCCCACAGTTGTCATTTCACAGTAGTCAGTCAGTCGCAGAAACAGGTTCGTACATGACCCCCACAGTTGTCATTTCACAGTAGTCAGTCGTACAGAAACAGCTTCGTACATGACCCCCACAGTTGTCATTTCACAGTAGTCAGTCGTACAGAAACAGGTTCGTACATGACCCCCACAGTTGTCATTTCACAGTAGTCAGTCGTACAGAAACAGCTTCGTACATGACCCCCACAGTTGTCATTTCACAGTAGTCAGTCGTACAGTAACAGGTTCGTACATGACCCCCACAGTTGTCATTTCACAGTAGTCAGTCGTACAGTAACAGGTTCGTACATGACCCCCACAGTTGTCATTTCACAGTAGTAAGTGCATGAGTGAACGCTGTTTACATCAGAGAAAGAAACATTGATATATTCTAGCTGCCAGTTCCAGGCGGTGTAACAGGTGTTTGATTACATAAGCAACAACTCAAGCAGTCGGTTGTAGCTTGTATATAGGTTACATTTTTTTTGGATGTAACGTGACTTAGAATACAGGCATGGGTACTTAGCCAGTTATCTCTACCTGCTTTCTGATGTGTTCTTTAGGTCTCAATGTCTCATTTGGGGATGATGATGGGAGTAGTGGCCAGGGTGAGGGTTATCTAGGACCTACAAAGGGCTACAGGATAGTCTCACCTCTCCAGTGTGGGGATGATGATGGGAGTAGTGGCTAGGGTGAGGGTTACCTAGGACGTACATGGGCTACAGGATGGTCTCACCTCTCCAGTGTGGGGATGATGATGGGAGTAGTGGCCAGGGTGAGGGTTACCTAGGACATACATGGGTTACAGGATAGTCTCACCTCTCCATTGTGGGGATGATGTTAGGGTTGTTGGAGTAGTGAGTCAGGAAGCTCATCAACACCACCAGCAGATGTAGAGGCTTCTGTCGTGTCTGCCAATATGGGTCCTGGGAGGAAGAAAATGACATGCTCAGAGTAGTTCCTTGTGATGTTCCAATATGGTTCCTCAATGATGGTATTCTTATTCTGAAGATTTCTACATAGAAAGTGCATGAACACTATTTCACACAAATGTGTAAAACTCTGAATCAGTGAGTGTTGTTTCACACTAGTGGATAATACATTGAATCACACTGTATGTTGTTTCACACTAGTGGATAATACATTGAATCAGAGAGAATGAATTTTGTTTTACACCTATCAGTTTTACTCTTAACTAGACTGAGTGAGTGAAATCTGTATCACTGCAGTGTTTTAATACACAAGTCAAAGTAAGGAGGCATTGTTTCAGACTTGTAAGGATTAATCAGATTCTGGATTCTGGAGTGAGTGAGTCAAGCTGCTGACCAAAGTAAAATACTTCCAGTTACATGAAAGGGCCTGTAGATAATCAGTTTGGACCAGGCAAACCAGGCAAAAATCTGTACCATCTCTCATAGTCACAATGTCTGAGCACCCAAGCAAATTGACGCACATCTCAGTAGCAACATTTTCTAGGGACCAGTTTTGTCAATCCCAACAGGTATAAGTGAGTGAGTTTAGTCATGTGCTGCTTTTAGTAATATTTCAGCAATATCACGGCAGGGGACACCAGAAATGGGCTTGGGGGATCGAAGCCAGGTGTTCAGCGTGACGAGTGAATGCTTTAATCAATAGGCTACACACACACACACACACCAAAACACCCCCCCACCCCCAACAGGTATGAACACTCAGTGAGTAAGATGATATGTTACTATCCCTATCGTGAGTCAGCTCTTTCATGCAGGTGGTACTCGCTGCCTTGGTTCGTTTGTTGCTTAAAGCCGCACTCAGCAATATACCAGCTATATGGTGGCGATCTGTAAATAATTGAGTCCGGACCACACAATTCAGTGATCATCATCATGAGCATCGATCTACACGACCCTGATGCCTTGGAATCACACCTACTTGCACACCACTTACTGATAGTACCATCAATTCTCGTAACAGGTATGACGCAATAAATCATTCACGTCACATCTGACCAAGTCTCAGCAATTTGCAACACGATTCATTTTTAGAGAGATGAAAACCTTGTATTACGGGAGATGATGATAAACTCACGCGTGACTTGAACATCCTGTCATATATCTCCAGCAGTTTGGGTGGCGCCACGCCGATATCCAGCATAGCCTGGAACACCCAGGTTGGGTCAAAGTTCAGCTCACAACTCTTCTGTTCGAGATGTCGAATGATGAAAGCTGGAACCAAACATGGTAAAGAACTCACCAACAGATGGTCACAGAGATGAAAAGGGGTTTAACATGGCATTCATGGTTATAGAACATATGCATGCATGTGTGTGTTTTAGACTGCTTGTACGAGTCTAGACAAAAGCCACTACATAGTGCTATCCCACTGAGGTGAGGTGAGGTGAGGTGAGGTGAGGTGAGGTGAGGTGAGGTGAAGTGAGTTGAGGTGAAATGGTTGATGTTGTACTAATGAATATTTCGCTCATATGACAATGTGCATGCATGTGTATGTGTGGCTGCTTGTACTAGCCCAGACAGAAGCTGGTTTTATAGTGCTAGCTCACTGAGATACGATGCCGCAGTTAAGCATGAATACCCCACTCAGACACATTATACTGACTCTGAGCTGACCAGTCCTTGTTGTACCCATTAATGCCGAACGCAGGCATGGACCAACAAGTACCATATTTTAACGTCTTTTGGTATGACGCGGACGGGGATCGAACCCGCGTCCTTCCACTCTCTGGGCTGACGCTCTAACCACTACACCACGGAGGCGGTCCTATCCCAATGAGGTAACACGTGTCAGATTGACATGGATGCCACAAGCTGGCACAAGCTGAACAGTCCCAGGCAGGAAAACATCAAGTATCAACATTACAATTTGTTTTCTATGACACAGGTGGGGGATGAACCACTGACCTTCCTCTGTCTAGCTGTATGACGGAGACCACAGAGGTGGTAGCTGGTTCAAGGAACATACTTGTTCCTTACGGTTTATACAATGAATAACCAACCAGGTACACCACCTCCCCGTGATTAATGATGACTGGCATCCGTCAACTGGACCAGAGTATTTGTAGAGATATTGAGATAAATATTGAGCATCTATTCTTTACTGAGGTACCAGCAATTCTTGCTAAGCATTATGGAGATAAAAACAGCTGTCACTTACCCACAGGGAAGTACCTCTCTGTGTTGACATAGATCTTAGCAACACTGACGAGATGATTGCTGATGTTGGTCACTCGAACTTGGGCTGCCGCTGCTGAATTGGTGGAGAAGTCTGCAAAAGGATGAATACATTTGAGCGAGGAGATCACTGAGTTACACAGTACACACCAGTCAGGAGTGAGTGAGTGAGTGAGTGAGTGAGTGAGTGAGTGAGTGAGTGAGTGAGTGAGTGAGTGAGTGAGTGAGTGAGTGAGTGAGTGAGTGAGTGAGTGAGTGAGTGAGTGAGTGAGTGAGTGAGTGAGTGAGTGAGTGAGTGAGTGAGTGAGTGAGTGAGTGAGTGAGTGAGTGAGTGAGTTAGTGAGTATGGTTTTACACCACTTTTAGCAATATTCCAACAATATCACGGCGGGGGACACCACAAATGGGCTTCACAGATTGAAACCCAGGTCTTCGGGATGAGGAACGAAGGCTTTAAACACTTGGCTACCCCACCAGTACTGCAGTGTGCTCATTTGTCAAACCAGTGAATGATAACAATGTTAAGTGAATGTTACACTTCTGTCTGTAAACAGTCCAGGGTAGAGTAGCCCCTGGCATCCTGAGTATCGACCCACATCACTGATGCATGAGAATACACAGCAGTATTGCAGCATATCAGGAAAGCCTGAAGTGATGCATGTCGCTCACCTATTTGGTGAACCGTCGAGGATGAGAATGGTACTGACAAACCTAGGAACTTTCATCAGTGCAAAAATACATGAAGTGCAAACCTACATTTATACCGTGAATTAGGACAAGCTGCCTGACCCAAGGGATGATCAAGTGTGTTTATACACTAGAGTAAATGAGTGTGTGAGCGAGTTTGGTTTTACGCCGCCATTAGTAATAATCCAGCAATATCCCAGTTAGAGCACACCAAAAATCTGCTTCACACATTGTACCCATGTGAGGTATCAAAACTGGACCTTTGGCGTACCAAGCGAATGCTTTAATCAGTAGGCTACCCCACAGCCCCTTAAGCCCTATAGAATATGGACCATATCACGCATGACCTTGATGAAGAGCCTACCTTTATCAATGATGCTCTGCCACAGGTTATCAATAAGCGCATTGTCGTACAGTCCAGCACAGTGGACAATGGCCAGCTTACACTCCGATAAGTCAAACCTGTCTGCATACTCTTCGTACAGCTGAAATCAGGAATTGTTAGTGTGTTAGAGGTGTTGAAGTTTAAAGCTTGTTCTAACTGCAACCAATTCAATAGCAGGATATTGTTACAACTGTTGATCATCCACAAAATATATCAGTATTATTGTGTTGTTACAGTGTTGTAGGTCTTCACTGGTCAAAACAAAATATGCTGAAATCTGAGTTAACTGGACATAGCTTCAGAGTTTAGGGTTAAATGCTACCCTCAGTAACATTTCAGATATATGACATTCGCCTGAAAATAACTGAACAATATGGTGTTTGTTATAATGAGCAAATGCTCCATGCTTTCAACATAGGACAAGAACACATGGTCATCAGTATCTCCCACTGTTCTGTTCCTATTTGGTTCCTGTTTTTTAACTCCACCACAACATTCATTTCCTGAAAACACATAACAAAATTTCCCTATCTGTAACAGTTTCTTGGAAAATCTGTCCCCATTGGGGATACCGAGCACTAAGTCAAGAAATGCATGACAATAATTCTGTAACAAATTGCAACACGGTTTCCATTTTTAAAACCAATCAAGGCATTCATGTCCTGAAAACTCATACAATTTGGTTTCCCTATCCATACCGGTTTTTGAGAAAATCTGTCCCCATCATCTCGGACAGACGGAGCTCAACCTATATCCCCCTCCCACTTGGTGGCGGGAATAATAACACCAACCCTGAGAGTTTGACAAATTAAGTCGACTTTTACGACCAACGTAAGTTGCTAGGGTCCTATTTTAACCTGTATTCTTCCAGTGTGGTGTACTGCTACCGAGTGTGGTGTACTGCTACTGTGTGTGGTGTACTGCTACTGAGTGTGTTGTACTGCTACTGTGAAGACTCGTACCGTGGTGATGTCCAGCAGTTCTGAGTCCAGCCTAACCAAAAGCCCCCTGGTGTCACCGTGTGGGATGGATAGGCCAAGAGACTTGGCCAACGCCTTCTGTACCTGCAGCTGGAGTCGGGCAACCTGGAACAAGACACGGACAGTTCAGATTGTCATAAAACGAAGCCAAGTGAGTCTAACTACTCAACCCAAAGAAAGTGCTAGCTCCTACAACAAGCATGGTGTAATGGGGCAAATTCTTCACCAGAATAGTCATGGGCATGGACATTGTTGAATGACAGTGTCAGTAATACTCTACCTCTATCAAAGCCTCTTGTAAGTCAACAAATCTGGAGCTGACAACAACAGAGTATTAATGGTTAACATAATGGTTGAAAGCATAGTGATTTGACATGTCTGTCAGCAAACAATGACAAAATGACACAGTTCACATAATTGCAAAACCACCTGAATCTTGTCTTGGGGACCTATTTTGCCCAACCTAAGGCTCACTGAGTACAGGGGACCTACATCATCCCATTGGAAGTCTATGGGCTATTAATTATACCTAGAAAGGTCAATTGGTTAAAGTTGACCTATACATCCATCACAGACCTAGGGGCACAGGAGACCTATCCATCATAGACCCAGGGGCACAGGAGACCTACCCATCACAGGCCCAGGGGCACAGGAGACCTATCCATCATAGACCCAGGGGTACAGAAGACCTACCCAGCACAGACCCAGTGGCACAGGAGACCTACAAATCACAGACACAGAAGACCTACCCATCACAGACCCAGGGGCACAGAAGACCTATCCATCATGAACCCAGGGGCACAGGAGACCTACCCAACACAGACCCAGGGGCACAGAAGACCTACCCATCACAGACCCAGGGGCACAGAAGACCTACCCATCACAGACCCAGGGGTACAGGAGACCTACCCAGCACAGACCCAGGGGCACAGAAGACCTACCCATCACAGACCCGGTGGCACAGGAGACCTACCCATCACAGACCCAGGGGTACAGGAGACCTACCCATCACAGACCCAGGGGTACAGAAGACCTACCCATCACAGACCCAGGGGTACAGAAGACCTACCCATCACAGACCCAGTGGCACAGGAGACCTACCCATTACAGACCCAGGGGTACAGGAGACCTACCCATCACAGACCCAGGGGTACAGGAGACCTACCCATCACATACCCAGGGGCACAGGAGACCTACCCATCACAGACCCAGGGGCACAGGAGACCTACCCATCACAGACCCAGGGGTACAGAAGACCTACCCATCACAGACCCAGTGGCACAGGAGGCCTACCCATCACAGACCCAGGGGTACAGAAGGCCTACCCAGCACAGACCCAGTGGCACAGGAGACCTACCCATCACAGACCCAGGGGTACAGGAGATCTGTCCAATCAGATACCCAAGGATCTTTTGCTTAAAATGATCTCACCTCCATCTTCTCTTCAAGCTCGTGCAAGAATTCTCCCCCAGCGGCAGACATGATCCTAGATGTGGAGCTCTTGGCACACATGATGGCTCGTGAAAGGTACTCGATACGCTGGTGGAGGGGCACATCCATGCTGGGGAAGGAACCAACTCATTAGTCCAATCTGGCACCACAAGGCCTTGTAATGATATACTGACTTACAAACTTTACAAGACTCTTCAGGTATCATGATACACAGCTTGAAGCTTTCATGGAGGAAGGCTTTTTACAATACCTGTTATTCATAATACCTTATACATCAACATAAAAGTTTTAAAGAAACACTTTTTCAGCCAGACTCTTCTCTTTTCCACATGCTTTGACAATATACTGGCATGAGTTTACTACATTCAATCATAGCCATTGTCAAGTTTAAGGGGTAAATTCACTTGTCAGGTGTCATTCTGACATCACCTTACCTGTGTCTCTCTGCCAGTTGGGACAAGATCTTTGCTGCAGCGGGGAAGTTCTGGATCTTCTCATAGTACTTCCACAGCATATCAAGAGCCTCTACATTGCCAGAGTGTAGTTGTGTCTTCCGCTTCAGATATGCCTCCACATATGGGGTCTGGATCTAAACAAGTGAGTGAGTGAGTAAGTGCAGATGGGGATTGCGTGGCGTGGGGTTCTTTTGTGAACTTGAGAAATGTGCAGTGTTCTGTACTTGCAGATTGTTGTTTTGAATCAAACATGTGACTGTTGAACCTAGGTTTCATCCTTAGTCACAAATCATTGCAAGAACCTTTCTTGATCAGCTTCAAACAGACCTGGTTTATTACAAGGTATGTTGTGCTTATCTCACGTCACAAGTCCTGGAATGGAATGAGGTGATATTTTCTTCATTGCATAAAGGTTCTGAGATAAAAGAGATGTGCGCTCTCCCAGCAAATACCAACTCAACAAGCAAACAGACGCTCAGTCATTGCTGGTTGGTCATCTAAATATCAAGTGCGCGAGGGAGTAAGGTTTTACGCTGCTTTTAGCAATATTCCAGCAATATCAATGTGGGGGACACCAGAAATGGGCTTCATACATTGTACCCATGCTGGGAATCGAACCCATGTCTTCAGCATGACGAGCCAATGCTTTAACCACAAGGCTACCCCACCGCCCCCTCAATATCAAGGATTTTCTGGATAATATCAGCTGTTGTTGACATGATAGTCCTTCCAGCACAGTGGTCGTCTTGAAGTCTCTCTTTGCTGTGCTTACAGCATACTGTTACAATAGGTGAGTGAGTGAGTGAGTGAGTGAGTGAGTTTAGTTTTATGCCACATTCAGCAATATTTCAGCTTTATGGCGGCGGTCTGTGAATAATCAAGTCTGGACCAGACAATCCAGTGATCAACAGCACGAGTTTCAATCTGCGCAATTGGGAACCGAGACATGTGTTAACCAAGTCAACAATCTGACCACCCGATCCCCTTTGTCGCCTCTTACAACAAGCATGGGTTGCTGAAGATCATTTCTAACCTGGATCTTCATGGGTTGCTACAATAGGAGCTGAGCTGAAATAGGGTTTAATGTTGTGCTTGAGAATATTTTGCTCATATGACGACGTGCATGCGTGTGTATGTGTATGTGCGGCTGCTTGTACTAGCCCAGACTGAAGCTGGTTTTATAGTGCTAGCCCACTGAGATACCATGCCGCAGTGAAGCATGAATACCCCACTCAGACACATTATACTGTTTCCGAGCTGACCAGTCCTTGCTGTACCCATTAATGCGGAGCGCCAGGCAGGTACCAACAAGTACCATATTTAACGTCTTTTGGTATGACGCGGTAGGGGATCGAACCCGCGACCTTCCGCTCACGAACGGACACTCTAACCACTACACCACGGAAGCGGTCGCTACAATAGGAAGAGGTATACTTCCATAGTGTTGTACTGATATCTTCAAGGATAGCTTTTGGTGTTAAGCCCTTTCCAGCAAGTACATGATAACAGCATGTTCCTAAAGTTTGTCAATATTCCAAAGACCACGGACTCCAGCCAGTTTACTGACTTGACACAGATATAATTTACTCAAGTTTTGGGGGACATAGCTCTAAGACACAATGCATTCTACTTAAAAGACTTCACTTATTAACCTACCTCTAGGAGTTTCTCGGAATTGTTGGTGATGAAGAACCAGTCGTACAGGGACGTGTGGAACAGAGCGTCCTCTGACTTGAGGGCCATCCTCAGGATATCCGTCCTCTGAAGCAGTAACAAATGATAGGGATACAAGTTGTCATGAAAGAGTAAATTTGATTACATGCCAGCAACATCACCTGTTCTGTTCTGGAGTCCATATGGGTACAGATATTCTGAACATTTTAAATCACAAGATACTAAGACTGGGTCTGTGGGGCACCTCCAGGTTATATGAGAATGGATGCTGTATCACAACTTATCAAAGTGGTGATAGTAACACACCACAAATCTTCGCATTATGGCAGAGTAATCCATGTCATATTCATCTTTAACAACACATACTTTTACAAAACTTATATGGATACTGTGCCTGCTGACAAGCTTATTAAGGTCGAGAAACTGTGTATTAAGGTTCACTTTTATTGATTATTGCTTGAAATTAAGCTAAACATGCATTAGGTCCTATTCATTTGGCAAAAGCACCAAACAACCTGTCAGATCAATCTCCTACACCAATATTTAATGTTGAGTAACATATGTAAATTCCTGAGAGATAATGTGCCATGACAGATATATTCCACCTGAGACTGATTCTGAGTTTTACAGATTTTACAGATTTCTGTATACTCACGTATTGGTCTGCCTGTGGGGCGGCGACACGGCTGGGGTCCGGGGCTGGAGGTGGGCCAGGAGACTTGGGGACACTGGGAGCCTGGGGGTGAGATACGCTGGCTGACCATAAGTAGCCCAGGATCTCGGTGATGCACTTGTAGCACTCCAACCTGGAAGACAATCCACATGGCAATCATGCAGAACCGCAGAACCGGGATAAGCAATGTGGAGATGTGGAGATGTGGAGATGCATGCCCAAACTCACAGTTACCTGGAATCTTTTGTCAAGTTATTTGGGATTGTGACATTTTTTTTACCTTTTTCAAAATCAGCTTTTGCAGTCCTTACTGATCATAATGGGAGTGCATTGTAAGTTTTTATATTAGATGCATTCAAACTTTTATTTCACAAAGTAAGTTGGACTTTTCTGAGATTTAACTGTTCGGCAATTAAATCATAAAGTGTCAGATTATTGTGGACTTATTATTGTAGACTATTACAAACCTATACCAACCTGTACTGTAGATTACTGCAACCCTACACCTACAGCTACAGATTTACTGCAAACCTGCACCATACTGCAACCTGCTGTGTGCTTTTGTTTACTACAACCCTACACCCATAGACTTACTGCAACCCTGCATCTACTGATGCATATTTACTGTCATCCCACACACACTGCCATATTACTGCAACCCCGCTTGTAAGATTTTGATTATTGCAACCCTATGTCCACAGCTACGACTCACCTGTGGTAGTATGCCTGGAATCCCTGGGTGTCTTCAGGTGGCTCCCCGTTTTGATAGAAGTGGGACGCCATATTTACTGTCATCCCACACACACTGCCATATTACTGCAACCTTCCATCTATAGCTACGACTCACCTGTGGTAGTATGCCTGGAATCCCTGGGTGTCTTCAGGTGGCTCCCCGTTCTGATAGAAGTGAGATGCTAGGTCCTGCGGGTCCAGTTTTCGAGCCTCCGTCAGACACATCTCAACGATGCCCTCGTAGAAGTTGATATTGGCGAACTGGCTACACACAGCTGGCAGCTGCAGAGGTGTGTTCACATTCTTGTACAGCTGGAGAAACAACAGAACTCTGTCAAAAACATAGCCACAAACTTATACCACACTTACAATGGCTCTTCCAGGCAGCTTCAACTCACAGTCTTCACAATATTTTCACAGTTTACTTGCCAATACACAGCCCTAGAAGCCACACACAACAGAAAATGACCATGCTGACTGTTTTTTATTCAACATTACTACCATGCCACCTGTCCAGTGAAGCACTCTTGACTTGATGATTACCAATATACAAGCACATGTACTGATCAAATTTCAAGACACATCCAAGAGTCGTGGAAACAGAGTCCCTTTCTATACCTGTTATCTGTCCTCCCAGTCTAGTCTAACATGGAATGTTACGTTCGTGCTGAAAGTTGTTGAGTTATCTCCCTTACCCGGAGTGCCTCGTACAGCTGCTTCCTCTTCTCCTGCTGCTTCTGGTTGACTCTTGCTGCCTGCAGCAACTCGTTGGCCTGTACACAAACATTGCTTTAACTAACCCACACACGAGGACAGAGGAGACGCCTCAGGATCATTAAGTAACCTTCGACATGTTTTAAAAATACAACCATGTTTTGCTCTTTGTTCTTAATTTAACCCATAGACTGACTGACTGACTGAGTTTGGTTTTACGCCGCTTTTAGCAATATTCCAGCAACATCACGGCGGGGGACACCAGAAATGGGCTTCACACATTGTACCCATGTGGGGATTCGAACCCGGGTCTTCGGCGTGACGAGCCAACATTTTAACCACTAGGCTACCCCACCGCCCCAAAAACCCATAGACAATGAGATTACAAATAACATCTTTTTAATGTTAATCATTATGATTGTGACTACATGATAATAAAGTTTTAGGAATACAATCAGAAAATTGTTTATTTGAAAAGAGAACCTAATGAATTTCAGGAACGACTTGGTGAGAGCTGAACAAAGTTAGTGGATGAGTTTGATCTGAAAGCAGCCCTCAGCAATATTCCAGACATATGGCGGCATTCTGTAAATAATTCAGTCTAGACCAGACAATCCAGTGATCAACAGCATGAGCATCGATCTATGCAATTGGGATCTGATGACCTGTGTCCACCCAATCCTATTAGTTGCCTCTTGACACAAGCATGGGTTACTGAAGATCAATTCTAACGGCGATCTTCACATAGAGGAATGTGACTTATTCCTGCCTACCTTAGAGCATGTGGCATCGTCAGAGCTGTACAATGATGGACACACTTCTCTCAGCTTCTTACTGATGGCATCTATTGTTGCATTGTCGTCAAGGTAACGATTGATAAGACATGTGATCAAGGAATTACACATCTGAAAATAGACACAAAATATCAGTTATTTTTTAACATTTACATCTGATCTGACTGACCTTCACTGCCAGTTTTGTTACTATTTAGCATTTGCAAGGTATTATATAAAGATACTGCATAAACACATTGAATACTTACTTCCTTCCCACTGATGACAAGCTGCTTGAAAGACATCGACCTGAGCTGATTCTGTTGATCCTGAGAGGAAATAACTGACAGTGAGTAAGTGAGATTGGTTTAATGAAGCTTTCACCAGTTTTCAAGTTTTATGAGCTTCATGTTTGGAGGAAGATCAAACTGATGCAGGTTTCTGACTGTCGCCATTTCGGTGAAACCGATGAGTAGAGGCATGGTCCTGATAAAACAAGGAACAAAATCACTCCGAACTGGCATCTGAACCCACAATCAACTAGTGGTGGTCCTATTAATTGAAATAATCAAAGATTGGTCGCAGTTACTAAACGACCAAGCAATCGATCATGTTTTCTCATAATCGAACACAAATAATTCTAGAACACTTGTTTTCATTAACAGTATTTTTCACTAGGTTGGTTTTGTCTGTTACATTTCATAAGCACTACAAGCTCGTTCCAAGTCAGGATTGAATTTATCTTAAAAACTCTAAGAAATTTATGTTCCTCCATACTAGTCATCCTTTAAACGTGAAATTTTGCCAAAAAACCCCAAAGAACTACATGTTTTTTTCCTTATTTTTTGTGTGCATTAACACCTTTCATAAGTGACGCTAACCAATTATTTTCGATGATTGATCGGTTGTAATGAACCAATCATCAATTATGAGATTTTAACCAATTCCCAACACTACAATCAACAGATTCTTGTATGCCCAGTGGATGCAACCATACCCATTGAATTGTTTGTCTTTTACTACTAAGTTGCATGTGCCAGTTAACAAGAAATCGAGTAGAACATCTTGTTAGGAGGCCCCTAGAATAATATTTGAGGAAGAGTGAGGGAGTGAGTTTAGTTTTACGCCGTTTTTAGCAATATTCCAGCGATATCACGGCAGGGGACACCAGAAATGGACTTCACACATTGTACCCATGTGGGGAATCGAACCCGGATGATCGGCATGACGGGTGAACACTTTAACCACAGACAAGGTTACCCCACCGCCCCCTATTAGAGGAAGGAAAGCAGCCAAATATTCCTGGAACCTTCAAAGACATCCATGCGATTCATATTAATTTATTATACATAGGGCAAGATCAAGGCAGACAGGGAAATGCCTTAATAACGAATACAAAGGATGGATACCATTTCAGCTGACAATAGTGGGTTTTCATGCAGTTTTTACCATTATTCAAGCAATATCACAACATAGGACAACATGAATGGGCTTGACATACAGAAAATGTGTACGTGTTCATTAATTTCTCAAGAGCTAACACAACAGCAATGAACATCGTAGAAGATTTGGTTTGTTGTTTTATGCTGCACTCAGCAATATTCCAGCTATGTAGCAGTGGTCTGTAAATAATTTATCTATGAGAGTTATTCCCACCTTGGTGAGGCCGGATGCGATGACGTGGAACTGGTGATCAAACAGGACCTTCCACAGCCCCAGGACCTCCTCCACACGGTGCAGCATGTCCTGGATGTGCTGGAGGGAGATCTTCTCCTGTCTCTGGGCCTCCGCTGGACACGGGACATATTCACATTGTTAACAATAGAAGCAGCTGGAGCTTTCTGCTGTATGTGGGAAGCATGTCTGTCTATTGCATAATACCTGACTCCAGCAATGTTCCAGCCATATGACAGCAGTCTGTACATATTGCAGTCTGGACGTTCCAGTCATTGGAAGTTTGAACAACAATCTACATTGTGGTCACCAAAGTCACCCAGTCTGACCGCTGGACCAACATAGGCCTAAGAGTTCTGATAATGTACACCAAAGTCACCCAGTCTGACCGCTGGACCAACCAAGGCCTAAGAGTTCTGATAATGTACAGTAAACAATAATAATTTTCATCTTTTAAATTTTCCTTGGAGCTTTATATTCAGTGAGTAAACAAGTGAACAAACAACATCAGATCCTGCTATGTCCAGGGGATATAACTCTGCAGTAAATGGCATGGGATATATAAAGTGGTCACCTCATGTTTCAAACACATGAAAATGTTTTGAAATCAAAGGCAAAGCAGCTGTCGTTACCTTGTAGTTTCTTTTTTGTCTGCTCATCCAGTGGCCCGACCATACGTGACTGGAACTGCATCATCGGCATCATGCTGCCAACAAACATCACAGGTTGCCAAACAGTGGTACTGTGTAGCACTATGGCAACCAGTGCCTGAAACTCACCAGACTAAGCTGACAGTCTTAAATGCCAGCTCATTTAAAACACTGTAGGCCCAGAGGAAAAAAATTGTAGGCCCAAAACATTTTAGCTGATGAGACATACTCTTGCTATATTAATTGCAAAACACAAACACATCACGAAAAATGGCCTTAGAAAATCTGGGGACGAACAGACAAGGTGAGGTGAGGTGAAATTGGGTTTAACGTCGTGCTTGAGAATATTTAGCTCATATGACGACTTGAACAGACAAGGCGTACTGGTTACAGGAAATACTGTTTGCAAGCGCTATAGCAGTACAGTAATGGTATCAACAGCAAGTAATGTAACACCTACATAAACTGCTCTCATTACTCTTCTCAACTATGCACCTCAAAGTTTCTACTAAGTATGACTAATTTATGAGCGGGATACTTTTGAAGGTGGACCCGAATTTACAAAGCAATAGCAGTGTTATGAGTCATTCACCATGTTTACTGCTTAAAACAAACACAAGGGCTGGCAGAAATGTAAAACTATAAGCCTGAGATTGTTTCATTAGACCCTGAATCACCACATATCTACTAAGATCCATAACTAACTACAGGACCACCTCCTTATCTGGACCTCATTCCTATTCACAAGACCATCTACCGGGCCACCTGTCTATCTACTGGACCCCCTATCTACAGGACCACCTGCCTATCTACTGGACCGCCTATCTACAGGACCACCCACCTATCCACTGGACCCTTACTTTTCCACCAGGCCACCTGCCTATCTACTGGACCCCTTATCTACAGGACCATCCACCTACCAACTGCATCCCCTATCCACAGGACCACCCACCTACCAACTGGATCCCCTATCCACAAGACCATCCACCTACCAACTGGATCCCCTATCCACAGGACCATCCACCTACCAACTGGATCCCCTATCCACAGGACCATCCACCTACCAACTGGATCCCCTATCCATAGGAACACCCACCTACCAACTGGACCCCCTATCCACAGGACCACCCACCTATCCACTGGACCCTTACTTCTCTACCAGGCCACCTGCCTATCTACTGGACCCCTTATCTACAGGACCATCCACCTACCAACTGGATCCCCTATCCACAGGACCATCCACCTACCAACTGGATCCCCTATCCACAGGACCATCCACCTACCAACTGGATCCCCTATCCATAGGAACACCCACCTACCAACTGGACCCCCTATCCACAGGACCACCCACCTATCCACTGGACCCTTACTTCTCTACCAGGCCACCTACCTAACTACAGGACCACTTACCTATCTACTGGGCCACCCGAGTCAAACCTGGAGTTGAAGTCCATAAAGTCAAGGAGGTCCCGTACCAGCTCCAGGGTGGTGGTGATGTTGTCGCTGCTGTAGCTGCTGGTCAGCTGCATCCACAACACAGTTGATTGGTACGATTGTTTCAATACAAGATAATTACACAAACTACTTGGGCTGTCATATATTCCACAAGCACAAGAACATTGCGATGCTTTGTTCTTCACACAGTATGAGAGCATTTGTAAAACAGTTGTTTTTTCTTCATTCAAGAACTTTCCACAAAGTTATAAACTGTGGAATGCACAATGGCTGACTTTGCGTGCTGGCGATCAGGTGCCTGACACTGAGAGTGCGGGTTCGAATCCCGAAATGGGACTGAACCCTACACACTGATATGTATCTAGTCAGAAAGTGTGATCCCAAATATAACCCGAGTTACAGTTTACATGGCAGTGTGATTCTCTTGAGTAGTGGCTGCAGGAACTCTACACATTAGAGAAGATTATTATGGTCGTGTTCTAAAATGACTGTTTACACATGTCAAAAGAATAGATAGTAAATGTTGTGAAACCACTTACATAAGTGACCATCCCTTGAGGTGTCTGACAGGGGAACTCCGTCGTTACCTGGGAATCCCAGAAGGGCCTGCAACAGTGTAGAACATGCTCAACATCCATCATGGTATTTTCAGATCATATGACTATCACCATTTTTATGTCAAATTACAAACATGCACTAGCCATATTACAACCAATTTTACCTTTGAAATTCCTCAACAGAGGTTATCAAATAACAATATACCCCCTCTGAATGAAACAGTTGACAATGACACCATCATTTTAGCTAATATTCACAGAATGGTACTTCTCTTTCTCTTATTGTCTGTAGGGGTATTTAATAATTATATGCACAATTACGGGTCACAAAATGCAAAGCTGTGGCTACTATTATACACAAAGGATGAGCGGCAATATATATTGTGTAGAAAACATGACTGAACACTGTGTAACTAATAGTATTCCATACTTCCAGACTTCTATACCTGAGTATTCTGCTGAGGTAAATACAGATGCCGTTATGTTTGCCGGAGTAAATGACTTCCTGGGAGTGGCTGCCAAGGGAGGTAAGTCCTGGTTGGTAGAAGGACTGCTGGAAGCTGTGTGGAGCTGGTGTGGACATGTGGGCGGGCTGCATACCTGCGTACATCCTCACATAGATTAGCTCACAAGGATGGGGGTCAAATGCCATCATATCTCTCTAACAAAAACATCAGTGATTTTTATTAATACAGATATCATGTTTTTATCGAGCTGATTCTATTATTATATCTGACTTGATCATTTACACTTGGAAGAAGAATGCAATTGATACACTAAATCTGGTTAGGTGTAAGTCTTAAAGTTGGGAACAGTGTTTTCTTTTGAATTTCTTAAGAGCCAGCACGGTCTCTTTAATAACAAGCTGAATCTCTAATCACTGTGCCCAAAACACCAACTGTAATGTGTGGTGACAGATGCATCATCAAGATAGCAGCAACACTTTGGAATGGTCTACCATCTACCCTGAGAAACTCAGCTTCTTATGACATTTTTAAGGAGGGCATAAAAACTCATCTCATCCAAAATGTCAGTCATGTCAGTTTAATAACAAATTCATTGTATGTTCAGGTACAAAAAATGAAAAACAAATGTATGCTGTGAAACACCAATTTTATAACAAAAACACTATTTTGTTTCAATAATCTGGACTGGAATAATCACCAGTGAAGTTTTACTCTCCATTTATCCAGGTCCAAGTTCACAACTTTGATATATCCACATCCCTGAATTGTTTTGTTTGTTTGCTAATACATGTAGATGGTGGTCCATACATAGTTAGGTCTGGACCAGAATCACATAATCAACATCACAGGTATCAGTTAATGCAACTGGGATACAATGACATTCATCCACCAAAGCGGCAATCCTGACATTCCGATTCCATGGTTCAAATCTTGGAAGAGTGATTAACATTAGTGACAGAACGGTCAGTACTACTACAAAGAAGCTGACAAAACACCACAGTTACAATGGTCACAACGGCGCCTGACCAGAGTGCTACAACCACCAACAGAAACCAGAAAAACATATCACACAGATACAAGTGACTGTTATCAAGCTGTGTCTTTATAACTCCATGGTAAACATAACTACAGTCTAGGGAGAAGGATTAATTAAATAATGAATGAAATTTTAACTCTACAACTTAATCTTAAAAATATATTCGTGGCTGTTTCAAAATCAGTCCATGCAACTTTAAGCTGAAACAGTGTACAGAGGATACTTTACTAAGTCAAGTCAAAAAACAAATATCAAAAAGAGAAAAACTAAAACTAGTAAAATAACATAAAACATATTAATAATAAAGATCTCACAACAAAATCATACTTCAAATAAAAAGCAGTCATACAAAAGAAAACAGCAATCATCCGAAAAGAAAGAACAGAATGCAACTAAAATGAAACAGCTTAGTAAATGTTAGTACAAGAAAACAAGGTCAGAGCTGTGTTAAAGGGGGGTAACTCTGTCTCACCTGGCATAGGGGTTGCGAAAGGAGCGAAACTGGTCCCATGGGAAGTGGGGCTGTAGATTACAGTGCTGCTGAGTGAGGCAGGCACTGACCCCATAGGACCTGAGAACAAAGCAGGGGAGGTGAGCGTACACACAAAGGGTGTTAGTATTACCTCCCTTGCACTACTACTGTGGAAAGTTTTGTAATCACGACTGATACTTCTTAACCTTTACAGGATATATATCACTCAAACAAAGTAAGGGATGACTGATTCTGATGTGACAGAATCTGGTGTTCCTTAACTCTTTTCAAGTAGTTTAGGAAGTGACTACTCTACAAGGTTAAAATAATGGTAATTCATCACATTAAAATTGATCTATTTTCTTGATATCAACCTGCTTATACCACTGTCTGAATTACAGGACAAATAGTTATTCAGGTTGTCTTATAAATACAGAATAAAAATACATAAAGGTGATGTTAAGATGATCAGATGAAATTAAACAATTTTTTATACAGCACCAATACAATGTGTTTGTACTGTCAATTATCCATAATCAAATCTTTGCTATTCAAATGTTAAATTTTAAATTAATATGTTCAACAATTCATCAAACTTTAATGAGAAGACACATCAATACACGAATATGATAATTAATTTGCATACCAAATTTACAAGCAAAATACTATTAACATTAAAATCTATATAAAAACAGGTACTTTTGAATCCATTGCACTTTCAAAATACCAGGATTATGATTGACAGATCACTTCTGATAAACAATTATACTCAATGATCAGTAGTACACAAAACATTACTTCTTCCATTCAATAATTAGGGTTTGCAAATCACAAACATGCGAAGTGGGTAAAGTTCGCATGCAAGACAAACGTTTCAAAATCTAGCGTCTAAATACAGAAGCAGGCACATACATAACTAGTTATAATGTTGAACAGGCTGTATGCTGAAGACATCTCAATTGAACAGTAAAACTTGAAATTTGTCAGTAAAAATGAAACAATCATACTCGTTTATGATATGAAAACTACATTCCCTTAAAATAATAGTGTATAATGGTAAAGATACTACTGCTTGAAACAAAACAAAAATACATATTTTTTAAAATTGAGATCCTGAACGTAGTACTGTTAAAGAACCTTCTAAGTCACATGTCACGGAACATGCCAGACATTTTCCTTCCACACTCACCATGCTCAGATCATCAAGAGCCCATGCAAACAAAGAAAGAGAGTAGGTTTACCAGAAGAGAAGGATGCTGGACCGATGTTGGCAGCACCCATGTGACCTCCGAAAGCGGGGGCGCTGAAGTTATACTGAGCTTCCCCTCCGTACATGAAGAACGCCATCCTTGCCCAGTCTCCAACCTACACAGTTGTTTAGCCACTTAATCATGATTTGCCATAAACCAATGAAATACACATCACGATCCATTATTCTAGATTCGGTAATCTGCACCCTGATCCACAAATAGTTCGTAACATTAAGATCTGTTGTACGTTTTAGTTTATCATGGGCTTATGAATGCTTTAATGCTATGAACGCTTCAAGGATCGAGAATCATTCCGCTGTCCAGGCCTGGAGTGGAAGGCCTGAGGGAGAGTTTAAACACTGTAATGAAATCTTACCAAATGAAAACATAAGTCTGTTTCCATCCATGATATACCTACCATTATTAAAGATGCATTATGTATAATAACACTATTACATTTAAGTAACCTGTAATCCGGTTCACCGGCGGTATTGAAACTATACTACCCATCAAAGTTTAGACTATACTAAAATATACACATTCTGACAAGGACTCACAACCTTTTATGGTTCTGGGTCCTTAGGGCCTGCAACTTTTCAGAGTTAAGGGCAAACAATGCATGGATGCATAAATGTTTTGCTATCAGAAGACCTACCTGTTGCTCTGCTAGTGGCCGAGAGCAGGCTATTGCCAAGCATGTAGCACAGGCCAGCTCAATCTGAAACAAGAAGAGAACACTCAGTATTAGCAATGATTCCTGCATACATGCATCGGTAGTACAGAAAATTGAATCTGATTCAAGGCAAAGCATTTCTTTTTGCATATTTGTTGATTAATCCATTAATCAGCAGTATACCAGCCATATGTAAATGAACTGGAAACAAGAGGACATGGTCATCAATATCCCCTGCCACAGTGTTCTGTTCCTATTTGGTTCCTGTTTTTTTTAAAAATTTCACCACAACATTCATGTCCTGAAAACACATAACAAATTTGGTTTCCCTATCTGTAACAGTTACTGAGAAAAATCTGTCCCTATTGGGGATATCGTGCACCAAGTCAAGAAACCCAAGACAAGGGGCATAACTCTGTAACACGGTTTCAGTTTTCGAACTCCATCAAGGCATTTATGTCCTGGTTTCCCTATATATAACGGTTTTTGAGAACACCTGTCCCAAAATGGATGGATGGAGCTCAAACCTATATCCCCCTCCCACTTCATGGCAGGGGATAAAAATCAAGTCTAGTAATCCAGTAATCAATATTGAGGGCAAAGATCCACAACTCTAGGGTAAGATGTTATGTAATCACCAAGCCTGAGCATCCACCCCATTTGGCAACCTCTTACAAGAAGCATACGTTGCTCTGGACCAATACTTAGCCAGAATCCCTGCTGAGCTTAAGACTAAGAAACAGGGAAGGTTGAAAAATGTTGTTAACCTTCAAACTGTATGACTTGACTTAACGCTTTTTGGGTAGGGTTGTCTTTTTGTTGAAAATTTTGAAAGAGATGACATTCACATTGAACATGGTAACATTGAATAGTTTTCATTTTGAATTGTGTTCAGTTTGTCAGCAACTGATCATGACATCCACAGGAGAACCAGCCCTAAGTCTTTCCCTTTGACAGCTTCTTGCTCCCAGTTTTAACCCAGGAGAACTACCACCTGGTCTTAACACAGGAGTACTAGACTTAGGTCTTTAACTTGGGGAACTTGCCCAAGTCTAAACCCTGGAGGACAAACACAAGGTCTCAACAAGGACAAATGTAGGAGTACGCCTCGAAATATATGCCTGGAGAAGAATCAAGCTGAACTCTATGGATACAATCAGAACTAACCCATCAGAACAACCATTGGCCTGCCAGAGGTAAAATGCTGTTGATCGATCCCAAGAGAACTACCCCAAGAATAATCTCTACCCACCACAGATAAAGTATGATACCCCTGACCTACCCGATGTAGCCGGAAGAATCCCTTGACCTCATCAGCATCTGGTCCCTGGCACTCGATCAGCAGCTGCTGGAGCTGTTCCATTGGCCGCAGTTTCTGTAGGATGTGACTGCCCTGGAACCAACAACATGGCCATCAGGACCAGGACCGACACAATCAGATGATCACTTGGACCTGTTCTTACTCCTACACAGTTACTGCAAGTTCAACAATTGAACAAAGCTGATGTTTGAATAGACTTTGCTTCTGCTGAAAGATTTTCACAGAATGTGACATCAATGAAATGAAATGAGTCTTATCAAATAAATTTGTACAAACCTGTAGAGGTTATGAATTCATTGAAGAAAAGTCCTCCTTGGGGTACATATAAGCATTAAAATGTCCATTTTAAAATACCTACGACAGTTGTAACAATAGTTCAATAAAATATTTTACCAAACAAAAAACTCGTTTTGTTTAATGAGACAACCCCTATAGGGCCCCTGACAGGGCCCCCTACAGCCAAGAGCAGGTAACTCTGGCTGCTTACCTCGTACCTCACTTTTCATGCTGAACGTGTCAGACGGAATGAGGGGAGGTGGGCGGCCGTACCCCAAGGAGGACTTTTCTTCAAAGAATTCATAACCTCTACAGGTTTGTACAATTCTTTTCAGAAGAAGTCCTCCTTGGGGTACATATACAGCATAAGACAGAGACAACATACTCCCTAGTTCAGTTAAAAGATGTCGAGAGTCGAAGGAGTGGTATTCTGTCTGGCTAACATACTCCCTAGTTCAGTTAAAGGCGGACAGCCACCCCCAACCATCAAAATGGGAAGGAGAAAATACACTATACCATTCATAACACCTGACCCAGCTAGGTGCAGGGATGAAAACAGTGAATATAGCATGTGACAACGCTATAGTAAAAAAAACCGGTAAAAACCACAACCATTGTGATACCGCCACCAATAAAAATTGTGGAATTTTATAAGACCGACACCAGGAATAAAAACAATCGTGACTTCGAAAGCTCATTTGGCTAGAGAATCACGACACTGCCCACTGGTGAGAACTGTCTGGCCAAAACGAGCACGTTCCCGTGAGTGTTTGTCAAGTTGATAATGGCGGATGAACATACTCGGTCGGCTCCAGATAGCCGCTGAGCAGATCTCCTCAATGGGCAGTGCCGCAGCATATACCTTAGATGTCGCCATTGCCCTAATTGAATGAGCCTTTAACCCCTGAGGGATAGTTAACCCTTTGTGAGAGTAACTTATACAAATGGCAGAGACAAGCCACCTAGATATGGTCGCTTGTTCGCCGAAAGACCAGCCTTACCACCGCCATAACAGGAGAACAGCTGCTTATCTTTCCTGAGAGCAGTCGTTCGTTTGATATAAGCCTTGAGAGTCTTACGGACATCTAAGACGTGAGCACGTCGAAGAGAGGTACCGGACGATGGAGGCTGAGTGAAAGCTGGCAGTTCAATAGGCGCCGTTATGTGAAAGGCGCCTGCGATCTTAGGACGGTAAGAGTCTGGCAACCAAATACTGACTCTGTCTTTGTGAAAGACAGTCAGAGCAGGATCCGCTGACATGATCATCGCCATGGATATCGCCACTTTCCAACGCCGCCGCTGAGACATTACCGCCACAAGAAAGGCAGCCTTCCAACTTAACAGCTGGAGTGAAAGAGAAGTGCGACAGGTTGTGAAAGAGAGGACCTACCCACCACATCCAATCAAAACCTACGATTGACCTCAAGTCCAACGGGGGACTAATCCGCCGGACAGTCGGACGGATTCTGTCCACGCCAGCTAAAAAGCGCTTCACAAGAGGGTGCTGCCCTAAGAGAGCACCGTCGGCAGGTACATGGAAGGCAGAGATTGCCGTGGAGTAGCCCCGGATAGTAGACGCAGCTAAGCCGGCCTCTAACCGAGACTGTAAGAACTCCAGTACTCCAACTACAGTTGAAGAAAAGGGATCAAGAATCCCTCTGCCGACACCAGCGCGTATAACAGGCCCATCTATCCTCATATTGAACGCTTGTCGAATCCCTCCGCGAAGCCAGAATTGTGTCTGCAACTGGTGCAGGAATTCTGCTCGCTTGGAGGCGATTCCGGACAGTGGCCAGGCCACCCACTGAATCCTGGGATTCGGGTGTGGCGCTCCGTTCTGGGATAGTAAGTCCGGTCGAAAGGGTAATAGTACAGGAGGCTGAGCCAGAAACCAGAGTAGTACCAGAAACCAGCTTTGAGCCGACCAAAGAGGTGCAAGGAGCACAAGAAGTTGAGCTGGTTGGGTGGCAAGCTGCGAGAGGACTTTGGGAATCAGGGGTAGTGTTGGGAACGCCCATAGAACCCTGCCCATCCAGTCGAGCTGGAAAGCGTCTGAGGCGATGGGTCTCGGATCTGGTATCCGAGAGCAAAACACCGGAATCTGGTTCGTCCCCCCAGAAGCAAACAGATCCACCTGGAACGACCCGAACAACTGGGAGATAGTCCCAAATATCTCCCGATTGAGCATCCACTTGTGCAGGGCCAGGATACGTCGAGAGAGCGTGTCTGCTCGAACGTTGTCCGCCCCTGGGAGATAAACAGGCATAACCCGTATGTCGAACTGGTCGCACCAGAGCAGAAACTGCCACGCCTCCCGCAGGAGAGACGGGGAAACCATACCCCCTGCTTCAGGATATAGGTCATCGCCGTCTCGGTTGTCCATCTCTAGACGAACTACACGGGGTCAAACCCGCTCCCAAATCGTTCGAACACTAACCTGACTGCTCTCAGTTCTAGCACATTGATGTGCAGTTGCGCCTCGCTCTGTGACCACAGGCCTGAGACTGACAGATCGCCGAGCACACACACCCACCCTGTGAGGGAGGCATCTGTCTGAATCAAGAGATCTGGCGGCGGGATGTCCAAGGGGATCCCCCTGGACAAATTCCCTGCCATTGTCCACCACCGTAAATGAGGAATTACCCACCCTGGAGAGTGGAGAATTAACTCGTAACCCCGGGTGTGAACCCACATTCGAGCCAAAGCTTGCTGTATGGGTCGCATCCTCACCTGCGCTTGCCAAACAATGTCCACCGTTGCCGCCATGTTGCCTAGCAACTGGAGCCAAGTCCGAGCTGAGGCCCTGGGGGACTCGAGAAATTGTAACACAACTCTCTGGACTTTGGCGACACAGTCCAGAGACAGGGAGACTACCCCTCGCGCTGTCTCGAATCTCGCTCCCAAGAAAACCAGATCCTGGGTGGGAACAGTTCTGATTTCTTGTGATTGATAATCCAGCCCAACTTGGTGAGTATACTCATCACAGAAAGTGTCGCAACTCAACTCAAGTGAGTGGCAAGCGCACGAAGGAGCCAATCGTCTAGGTACGGGTAACAGCACCTGCCTTGTGACCTGGCTACCTGCGCTGGAATTAGCATGAGTTTGGTGAACACCCTTGGCGCTGTGGAGATGCCGAAGCGGAGCACACGAAACTGATAGCACCTCCCGTCGAAGGAAAACTTTAGGTATTTCCTGAACTCGGGGTGCATTGGGACATGGAAGTACGCGTCTTTGAGGTCGTTTGACGTGAGCCAATCTCCCTTCTCCACAGATGAGATCACTAAACGCAGTGTCTGCATCTTGAAGGATGGTACCTCTATCATGTCGTTCAGACATTCGAGGTTTAAAAGAGACCTGAACCCTCCATACTTTTAGGTGACACGGAAACAGGTCGAGTAATACCCCGCCATTTCCTGTCCCATTGGAACCACCTCGATGGCTGCCTTGTCCAGTAATGACTGGACCTCGGCACGAAGCACCTCTGCCTTCTCTAGGGCAGCCAGCACTGAAGTACAACGGATCCCGGAGAAGGGAGGTGGGTCTCGCTTCCACTGTGGCATGTGGCCGTCCCTGAGCGTGGACAGGACCCAGGGATTGGAAGTGACCTTTTTCCATTCTGACAGGAGGAGAGAAAGTCGGCCACCCACAGGGATATGTGGCATGAGGCAATGGATACCATACATCGGCAGTACTCTGACTGCTGGATCTGGTACCGACAAGGGCTCCGGAATTATAACTGGGAAGCTGGGGCTGACTTCCCCTTTCTCTGAAATGGCTGGTGGGGCGCCGTGGCTTTGCCCTTGCCCCTGCCTCTGCCCTTACCCCTCAGCGACTGTAATGGCTGAGCCCATTTAACAGGTTCCTTTGCCGAGGCAGAAGGATATGCAGAGGTAAGTACCGTGGCTCGCGCGCGAGACATGTGAGGCTGTTCCAACAAGGGCTTATAGTCCTTGAAGGTTGATACAGCCTCCGCGGCCTCCCGGACTACTGTAGCTGACCCAGGAAACAGGGTAGAACCCATCTGGAACGGCAGCGCCAGTAGAGCCTGTTGTGTGGCAGGAGAGTACCTAGCCAAAGAAAGCCACAGGCGAAGGAGGCCCATAACCGCCAACATCATTTGGCAGGCCGACGACCTGATAGAGTCACACGCCAGATGTGACTGGACCTCCGTCAATTGTTTTGCCGAGGTGGAGGGAGACAAAATTCCTTAGGGTCAGGTGCGCCAGCACTGACAACTACCTGAGGCAGGACAGAGGCAATACGCTCCCGCACCCGTCTCCGGGACCCACCGATGGATACAAAAGGTGTACCCGACCCTCCCCGACCCTCATCCTCCTCCATAGCCTCCTCGAATCTATCCTCCTGGAGCGAAGTCTCTGTATCTAGGGAAAGCTCCGAGGGTTCATCCGAGGGGTCTAGGGAGAGTGACAGAGGCTCAAGCAGAACCGAGTTGCCCGGTACGCCCGACCCAAGACTCAAAACTGAGTCACGGTGGCGAGACGAGGAAGAGCCCGACACGGGATTCCCCAACGGCAAGCATAATGGCCCCAACACCGAATGGCCCCGGAAAGCCGGCGCAAACGGTGCGACCGAGGAGGTAGCAGAGACTACTGGGACAGAGCCTGTAAAACCGGCACCAACTACCGACCCAGACCCAGAGCCGAGGCTCGGACTGGTGGTAGCCACCGTAGCGGAGGGGTGGCCGGCAACCGAGACGAGGCTTGGTGCAGACGCACTCCCGACAGAAATGTCCACACCAGAGCCTGAGCTAAGGTTGGGGACACTGCCCGCCACAGAAACGGAACACCCCCAGTACCTGGCCCGGACGCCAATCTCCTGACAGAGACTGGACATCACGTCAGATATAAGCGAGTGAACTGATGCCATTTGCTGATCGGAGATTGAAGATTAATTCGAAAGTTAAAGTATTTGAAACTGGGACATGTGGAGGTGAAGGTGCCTGTGATGTGGAAGGGATGGCTTGTGAAGTGACCGAAGATCCCGCACCCTTCGCCTGTTAAGGCGCTGTATCCCCTGATACAGACGAAGAAGAAACCTTCTTTTCCTTAGGCTTTTTATCCTTATCCTTAGAAGGAGGCTTCTGCCCCCAAATGTCGCACGGGTGATATTTAACTGCTACAGCAATGCTGTATAGCTAAATACTAGCATAGCTAAATACTAGCATAAAGCCACAATTGTGAAGCCTAATTGTGTACATAACTAACAAAGAGCAACATTTGTGAGTGATACAAAACGAACACGCTACAAAATCACTCAAGCAAAACTTAACAAAAAATCGCTGAAAAAGAGGAATTTAGGCAAGCATAGTCTACATAATGAAATATCAAACCCTTACAACCCGACTACAAGGCTTTGAAAGCCATCAGAAGGGATAACAAAAGGACCCCGTGGTCCGCTATCTTGCCTGCCACAATGCTGGAGACAGCGAACACGCCGGCAAAGTTACAACAAATCATGAATGAAAAATGTCATACAAAGATTCCAGCTAGCTCCATGCGAAAAAGAAGGAACCATACATACAGGATTTGACTCTTTCTCACTCATTTTCTCTCGTAGTATCAGGCGAAGACGTGTCTTCTCTAGACCATGCTCGACCGTTCTAGTCAACGACAGCATGAAAAGTGAGGTATGAGGTAAGCAGCCGAGTTACCTGCTCTTGGCTGTAGGGGGGCCCTGTGAGGAGCCCTATAGGGGTGGTTTCACTAAACAAAACATGTTTTTTGTTTGGTAAAATATTTTATTGAAATATTGTTACAACTGTCATAGGTATTTTAAAATGGACATTTTAATCCTTACATGTACCCCAAGGAGGACTTTTTCTGAAAAAGAATGTGTGAAGTTATCTTCATACAAGCATTTTTCAATGTTTCTATTGTTTGAATCTTTTATTTTTAGTTCATACGCTCCATTGACTTTTAAGTAATTTCGTAAGTTGTGTTTTTCAACAGAGAGGCAAACGTATCACAATGACATCAATCCTTCTGTGTAAACCTCTTTATCTCACCTGTGCACTAAGAACAATGAACCTTCGTGGAGGTTTTACGTGTTGGGTGACCACTGAAGGAGGGTCTGGCCGAGATGACAATGACTTTGTAGCTTCTGGCAAGGGTAAAAGAGGGGTGGTGGATTCACACATTGCCCAGGTCTTACCATCAACCGGCAGCGTCATCTGTGGACAAATCATACATAGCTTCATATTTAACAGCTCCTCTATCGGACATACATCAGGATGCAACAACCACAGCTATGAGAAGACACAGGAACATGGGGCACAGGATTCTTAGCTGCATTTTGACTGTGTCCCATTCATAACTTAGGCCGAAAGATCACTGAGAAATGAGCAACCATGTTGGGTTTATAGCAGACTTCTACATCTCCAAATGACTACATTTCAATAATTGTTTTAAAATTTCAAACATATACACATTTTTTCATTGAAAGAAGGCCTCATGTGATGAAAAAACATGGTACAACAATTGGCAAAATCTGTGATAGCAGCCAATCCAAAAACACTATTTGCTATTGTTTCAAATGTTTTTTCATTGAAAGAAAATAATGATTCCTGAATGAATGGTACAGCTTTTGGAAAAAACTAATATGGCAGCCCCTCCAAAACACTATTCGCTTTCGTTTCCAATCAAGAAGACATTTTCCAGCCTTACAAAACATCAATAAATCTGTGATCCAAATGCAGTTTAAGTGGAGTGAGATGTTGGTGAACCTACCTGTGTCTCCATGAGCTGGTTCTGGAAGGGGAAGTGTTGGTGAACCTACCTGTGTCTCCATGAGCTGGTTCTGGAAGGGGAAGTGTTGGTGAACCTACCTGTGTCTCCATGAGCTGGTTCTGGAAGGGGAAGGAGTCGGCTGCTGATGGCCCACAACATGTCGTTGTCATCATTCTGGGGGCCACTAACATCAGAGTGTCTGGACACAGGACAACAGTGGTCAGGTACAAACAAGCAGCCATGATTCAGACATCAGGAGTGAGTGAAAGGTACTCTACTCTCAAGAAAGAAATCAGGACCAGTGGTCAGTACGTACAACTCCAGCCATGATTAAGACATCAGGAGTGTTGGTGAAAGTGTACTCTACTCTCAAAGAAAGAAATCAGGACCAGTGGTCAACCTACCTGTGTCTCCATGATGGTTCAGACATCAGGAGTGAGTGAACCTACTCTACTCTCCAAGAGCTGGTTCTCAGGACAACAGAGTGGCTCAAGCTGATGCATACAACAAGCAGCCATGATTCAGACATCAGGAGTGAGTGAAAGGTACTCTACACTCAAGAAAGAAATCAGGACCAGTGGTCAGTACATACAACAAGCAGCCATGATTCAGACATCAGGAGTGAGTGAAAGGTACTCTACTCCCAAGAAAGAAATCAGGACCAGTGGTTGACAGAATGAGCAACAAAGCAACAGCACAAGCTGACAATCACAGTTTGCTGGTAGAATTCTGCTCTGAAAATCATACTGACCAGCCATAAAAGTTAACTCTCTTTCCCATCACTATATTGAACTCATATACACCTGTCAATCAGTGGGTTTACTTTTCCGAAATTAGCGTCTGCAAAATGTCCGATTTCAAGGTGACAAAAGTTTACTGACATAACAGTACCACAAAACGTATCATGGCAAAAACTCTTATTCACAGCATAGTTTCAAAAGGACAGAACAGAAAAACACAAGAAGGATAAGCTGCATAAGTCCGAGAACTTCACAAGTAGCAACAACACATGTAATCATAAGCTGGGAATTTGAAGATAAATGAGGGAGGAATCCATCTGTAACAATGGAGGAATCTGAGTACCTCTGTGATGGTAGGCCATGTGGATGTTGCTGGGTCTCTGTGTGGTGGAGGAGGCTGAGAACCCTGGGGGGAGGCGCACATGCACCAGGGTCAGGAGGCTCGGACGACCTTTGCTGGACCCAAACTGATTGGTTGTGAAATACAGCCGGACACCTGGAAGAACACATGTAGATAATCTCTGACTTCACGAGACTCAGGGTTAAATCGCAGGGCGTTACTTTACAAAGCATGAACCTCATCAAGGTTATTTGATGGAGAGTTCAGACGTGTGTCAAGTGTTTTTGACAAAAATCCTTGCACTGAATTACACTCCACTTCATACTTACTTCTTATTTGTCTTAAACAGTCGAATACAGAGACAAAGTCACAAAGTCGCAAAGTCTTTGTCTAGTGAAGAAAGCATTTCGCTAACAGCCTCATGTGTTGGAAGCATCAACGATGGGAGAGTCCCCAATTAAAGGCTGTTTTACACTATGATGCAAGCCCAAGCCCAACAAAGACGAATAGCTACATTGTATAGTGAGACCAACTAATCTTTATTTGAGTTCCGTCTTACAACAAACATGCAGGTATTGACCACCTACTCCCTCCATGAATCAAACTACAAGTAGATTATGCCACTATGACTCTGTTAGTTAAGAATACCAACACCAAAGTGGATGACTATACCAAGCTAAGCTATATCCTTGTATTATCAGTCAGGATTTGTTTGTTTAAAGCCGCACTCAGCAACATCTCAGCATATATGGCAGCAGTCTGGACCTGACAATCCAGTGTTTAAGATCATGAACATAAGATCTACGCAATTGGGATACGATGTGTCAACCAAGTCAGTGAGCCTGACCACCTGATCCCGTTAGTTGCCTCTTATGACAAGCATGGGTTACTGAACCCGGATGTTCAGGGAACGGAACTCAGGTGTTTAGCTGTTTTTCAGTGAATGCTTCATCCTCTAGGCTACTCTACCGTCCTGTCTGTTATCTGCCCTGTTGTTATCACCTATATCCCTGCTGCTGCTGCCTACCTGACTGAGTGACTGCCACAAGGTGTATGTTGTAGGATTCTGACTTGGTGATGACTGCCAGGTGAACTATCTGCTTGAAGTTGGACCTCTCCACAGTTCTAGAAAACATCAACAACACACCAACATTAACGTCATTTCCTGACACAGATTATGTATCAGCTTATACTGTTCACTGCTTCATTAAAAGAGGAAGTGCATAAATTGCTTGTACTGCACCAATACTTAAGACCAGAGAACAGGTCATCCTCCTCCTGTTTCTCCGGCACAGTCGTTACATGGTGATGGCTGCAGCATGCATGAGTGTGTTTAATAGGACATTATTTGGACATAGCAGCATGTATTAAGACCGTTTTGGGACATGACTGTGTTCTGGGACATTACCTGGCCACTGCCGCAGCATGAGTCATCACTGTGTTCTGGGACAGTGCTGCCACCCTCCCCATTCCCCTTCCGTCGTCACCGAGATCAAACACCTGACAGAAACAAAAGTTACTGCCCATAATTTCAATCAGACATTTTAAAATTATTTAAAGCTTGGAAAACTTTACTCTTTCAATGCCATATCAAATGCAACTCATCACTTACCTGAATGGTTCCCTTCTCAGAGCGAGCATACAGGATGTTCCTGGAGTTGTCTATGCAGATTTGTTCCAATGGATCTGGAAAGATTGAAATTTACCCATACTATTCTATGCATACAGGGCATCCTATATCATGACAGCTAAGAAGGTTTTTAGCTGCTGGAACACAGATGACTGTTACACAAATGATTGTTTGAGTGAGTGAGTGAGTGAGTGAGTGAGTGAGTGAGTGAGTGAGTGAGTGAGTGAGTGAGTGAGTGAGTGAGTGAGTGAGTGAGTGAGTGAGTGAGTGAGTGAGTGAGTGAGTGAGTGAGTGAGTGAGTGGAGTTTAGTTTTACATAGTTTTTAGCAATATTCCAGCACTGGGGGACACCAGAAATGCGCTTCAGACATTGTACTCATGTCGGGAATCAAGCCGGGTCCTCGTTATGATGAGCAAAGGCTCCTAGGTTACCTCACCGCCCCAAGACAACAATGAACAAGTGTCTCTATAGAATCAACACTTACCATCTTCACTGAAGTTAAATATGGAGGGTACAAGGAAAGACAGCTTGCTTGTGGAGTGGTTGATCTTGCGGCACTTGCGACTGAACCAGCCGTCTTCAGCCTGCAATAAACATGGTGTCTTATACTCACCAATACTGATGACAACAGAAACTAACTGATACTTCCTCATCCTAACTGATCCTTAGACACCAGATTTCTGCACTGGACATAACACTTTCTTCGGCATTATGAATCACCTATATAATCATTAAAGAAAATTTAGTTAAAGTGATACAAGGTACCATAACTTGTTTTTTTACACCTCAAGTGTTGTTTCGTTTCATTTCCAAATTGAAAGTCCAATACACCATCAGCTCAAAATTTCTCAAAATTATTTTTGAGTTTCATTGGTTGAAGGTAGAAGTGGCGTTGTACTTATTAGCTTCTTCAAAGTGATGCAACATATTTAAAAAAGAAACTAAACAAATATTGACAGAGAAAGTGCATTAAGACATTCATAGCAACAGTTCTCAACAAAGCAAGCGAACACCTGGACCACAAGGCTACACTACTGTCCCAGATGGCACTGTAAGACTGAACACAGCAAATCATGAAGTTGTACCTGGTAGGCTAGCTCGTAGAGGCAACCGTCCTTCCCTGCCATGAAGATTCGGCCATTGTCTGCCCCGGCTATGTTGAAGATGCCGGTGTTGTCGGTGGGGATGGAGAAGAGGGGGTCAGGGAGGAGGTGCATCTCCCCCACACCTAGCTCACCACTGCTCCCTGGGGACACACAATCAGTATGGGATTGGAAACCTCACCCGTAGGGATTTAACTTGGATCTGAACTACACGCCCTTCCAAGCAAACTGGGAAACAATCACATTTTGGTCAAAAGTGGGATTTTTTATCAGCTTCTTATATTATCTTAGGTGTTTTAACATTGCATATTAACATGAAATTTGAAGCATTTATGCCCCATTAAAGCTGTCTACATTAACAATGTCTTAATCGGCCCTGTTATAAGAGAAATACAGTCGCCAAGGTACAATATCAATTAAATACTAATTGTATTATCTAAACATAATGTACTTAACACCATTTCAGTACTGAGGAACCTCATATTGCCTGCAAGGAACCTTGAAATCACTCATACCAACCTTCAAAGGGTCTGGCGAAGCTGACCCCGAGCAGAGGACGATGTCCACTGCTGTGGCCAGACACAGGAGGTACTGGATGTGCGGCTGGAAGATACCTGTCGACACAGCCAACATGTCACTCATGGGCTTCCTTACCATCGGCAATGTAACTTCAAGAAACTAAACATTGGAAAGGGAAGGTTGAGGCCAGGGATCAGGAGGGGGTGGAGGAGGGGAGCAAGTAGAGGAGGCCAGGGATCAGGAGGTAGAGGGAGGGGCAGGGTCAGGAGGGAGGGGAGAGTCAGGGCGGATCAGGAGTGAGGGAGGGTCAGGACAGGGATCAGGAGGGAGGGAGGGACTGGAGGGGGACGGATGATGCTTGGAAGGATAGGGATCAGGAGGGAGGACAGGGAGGGGAGTCAGGACAGGGATCAGGAGGAGGGATCAGGAGGGACTGACTGGAGGGACGGATGATGGAAGGATAGGGATCAGGAGGGAGGGGAGGGTCAGGACAGGATCAGGAGGGAGGGGGAGAGTCAGGACGAATCAGGAGGGAGGGCAGGGATCAGGAGGGTGGGGCAGTGATCAGGATTGAGGGGAGGGATAGGGACAAGGAGGGTGGGAGGAGAGGGGAGGACAGGGATCAGGAGAGAGGGGAGGGCAGAGAATGAAGGGGGGAGGAAACAGGATGGGGAAGGGCAGGACTGATCAGGAGTGGGAAGGGGAGGGATCAGGAGGGAGGGCAGGGACAGAGGGGATGGAGGGCAGGGATCAGGAGAGAGGATGGGGAAGGGCAGGGGATCAGGAGGGTGGGGAGGGGAGGGAGGGCAGGATCAGGAGGGATGGAGGGATCAGGAGGAGTGGAAGGGCAGGGATCAGAAGGGTGGAGGGGCAGGGAGGAGAGAGGGCAGGGGATGAGGGATCAGGAGGTGGGGAAGGGAGGGCAGTGATCAGGAGGGAGGGGCAGGGCAGGAGGGGGGCAGCAAATTTTAAAATCAATTTTCTAATTAAATCTATCAATTTTATTTCTCCTCGAAAAAGATTACGTTTTCACAATGACATTGAGGTGTTGCCAAATAAAAAATAACAGTTTTGGAAAACTCCAGGCTAAAAATAGCAGCATTGATGCATTGCGACACCCTCTACATTTCCGATTGGTTGTTAGGGTGCAACGTCTAGCACACATTCAAAAGCGTGATCACTTGATCAATGTTCTCATGCAGATGTACCTGGTTTGGGTTTCACAAGTGCTGCACACTGGATCGTGTCGTTCAGACCATCAAAGTAAGCAAGGTCCGTGCTGGAAATAAGAAACAGTCATAAACAACCAGGTTATTGATGGTCCTAATTTATATCAAAGGTACATATCTGAAACAGAACAGCCAGCCTTTGAAGATTTTACTTTTAGTCTATGATTTTCAGCCTGCATTAAACTGATTGATGATGGATTGAAGGGATATATTGTTGAAGGACTCGATACAAAAACTGTCTTGACATAAGGGGTGACAAGAAGTCACACAGCAGACATTCTTCAAGGAAGGGATCGAATATTTAAAACAAAATTGTGCTTGTTCATAAATTTGATGTCAGGACAGAAGTTAACAGCAGATAATGAGATCACTTACCCATCTTCATACTTCCACACAAAGATGTCGCTGTCGATGGTTAGCCACGCCCTCTCAATGTCCGGGAACAAGCCCATCATACAGTTACATTGCATGCCTGTGTTATATGGTTAAGAAATATTGGAACTGTCTGGAAATCATTCAATTTCAACATTTCATTCAACATGTTCAACGCAATAATGTTAACTATGCATATATGACTTCTGATTTATTTTGAAATTATTAGTGAAATTCAAGTCGTGTCTAAGAAGACATAACATAAGCTAGGAATATAACACCATCAAGTCAATCAAACTTGTTGCAGATATTTCCTGCTGTATTAGGGTCCAAGAAGGGCCTCTAAGCAGGTGTAGATAAATTCCAGACATGGAAAAACAACTGTCCCTAAAAGAGGTGTTCACACCATTTTCTTTAATCACATCAGCAGTACTGCCTATTAAAGGATACGTCCAAACTGTTCAACGAGCTCTGGGGGTAGGGGCACCCTCTTGATGCTGGTCATCTCAGTAAGCCCCTCAAGCCCCATCCCAGCCTCCAGCAGGCTTGGATAGTCAATGTCCATCAGTCCACTCTGGGTTGGCTGACCTGGAATGATAATATGTCATAGCTGTTGGCCACCATGCTCATTTAGCATCTCCAGACTTCCAACATGTACTTGACTTAAATCTGATTCACTCTGTCACCGATGACTTTCCTCAGACTAGAAAACCCTTGTATGACTAGTGCCAACAACATGGTTCAAATAAAGGTTAAACAGTTAAAAAAGATCCTGGTATCTGAAAGACACACTGATTTATTAAATATACCCTGTAGTTATGCATATCAGAGGCCCAGATAAGCTGCGTATCCGGGTAAAATACGCATAGAAAATTTCCAATTACGCATTGAAAAATAATTGTTGCGTACCAATTACGCATTTAAAATGTTAGATACGCAAAAACTTTAAAACAAATGCGTACAGAATATATTCATAAAAATCGCTTGCGTTATGAAAAAGACATTGATTGCTATCAAGTTGTACTGTTAGTATAGGACTAGTGTTGTACTGTCAGTATAGGATAAGGGATTTTTTTTTATGAAATCATTTCCATTATATTTAAGTTGGTTTTGATTAGGTATGATATAAGGCAGGACATACTGCTTAGTAAACTTACTCAATGACATAATACTTAGGTGAGTAAAATGACTGAAATACGCACATATTTGAAAGCATTGGGTAACGGAAAATGAAATACCCACTCAACATTCATAATACCCACTCCAAAAAAATACAGTGGGTACAGTACCCACATGAGCTAAATCTTATCTGGAGCTCAGCATATTATCATAATTAAACATTCCTCAGACTAAAAAACCCTTGTGAGACTAGTGCCAACAACATGGTTTCAAATAAAGGCACACTGATTTATTAAATATACCTAGTTTTTATGTATACATGTATTATCATAATTATATATATAGCCAGTGACAAAAGTTCTCAAGAAAAAGTAATCTGAGCAAACATTATAACTGAATATAAACACATGCATACTAACGATCTGCTTCTTAAAATAAACCTACAGATTTTTAAGGTGAATAGGATCCTATCAATTTGAATGAAAAGAAAGGAAACAAACAAATATGGTATCAGGCTCATGTTGAAACATCATTCCCATTTTTGGGGCCTGAATAAATTAACTTACTATGTGAGGGAATTCTCAGCAGCTCAGACAAGTCAAGGTAGTTTTTGTCTTCCTGCAGATGTTTGTCGACTTGGCGTCCAGCGCTGTCCAGTACATCTTGGAGAGTCAGAGGGGGAATGCTGCCCATCATGGACACCATGTTGGCAGGCAGTCAATTACTTTGGTTTCTAAGACAAAAAGTTACTATTTAACCATGTACCTGTTCATTATGAAACATTGCTGAGTATGTCTGTCTGGACTAATGACAGTATTACAGTGCTGGTGTACCACAGTTAACATGAATACCCCACTCTGACACAGTATTCGAGTCACAGACACTGATCTGTCCTTGTTTGCCCCTAATATGCTGAGAGCCAAGCAGGGTATCAAGAGACTTAGATTTCTTGAGATTTGCCAATTTGCCTGAGTCTAGTCGCCACATTTATTGGTAAGACTTCCGCCTGTAACTTCCGCTTGAAATGTATTCTATTTATTAGGATTATTTCGAGGGTTTAGGGATAGGTTTGGGCTTAGATTTTTGGGTTAGGGTTTAGGTACAGGCTGTTTATAAAAAAACCATGGGCGTATATTCTTAGGCATATCATGATTAAAAAATACGGGGGTTGCGGGCGGAAATCTTTTCCATTTATTAAACAGCGATATTGCGTTTTTCAGTCAAGTGAGGAAAATGCGAACATTCTCACAGTCGACGGTAAGTGCCGGCAGAGTCAATTGTGTCGAAGCAGGGTTAGAGTGCCCCAACCCAGGAACTCCGTGGGGGTGGTCTCTTTGCGGAAATGTGTCCTCAGTTTTAAGATATTCTCATGCCATATAACAGATCTGCCATTGCCAATATCTTATACTACTCAAGTAATGTGGACGCCTATACTATATCGAAAACAGGACAATAACGGTGTGGCGGTAATGAAAACACAATCATCGACAAGAAAACACCAGGTATCTCTAAATATACGGAAAGGGTGTTTAAGCAAAGTATTTCTAATCATTCTTACGTGTTAATAACGCGTAGTTTGTGTAGTCGAGATATATCAATCAAATTCTCATGCTTTCCTTTTGAATGCCGCCATTTTCGAATTCTCCAGCGCCGTCTTGCGGAGTCAGTCATATGAGGATAACTCTTGAATCCGTAAATGACTGAAGCGTAACATTAATAATTGTTACAGACAATTGAACATGATGTGTCTATGTTAAACTACTTAGTTGTGGAATCGTGTGGTATTATAAAATTGCCATCGTATTATAAAGTTCAGACTAGGATAAGCATGAAACAACTCACACACTATTCGCCATCCCCATTTCTGCATATAAGCACACGCACACACTGATTTAAACCAAAGAGACTATATAAGGCTATATAAGGTTGTAGAGTATCCCTGTTTAAACCAAAAGTAGTAATTCGCTGCGTCGTGATACAACATAGTTATTATATATATAGTGGCAAACCTTCCTTCTATATGAAAAATTACAACCGATATTTTAGTCGAGTGAAATGCATTTTATGACTATATTTAAAATTTGCCCATACAACTACGCGGTTTTCAAAGGAATATCATTAAGACAATGCTATAATACATTTGAATGCACATTGCCATTAAGAAAGTGGTCAAATGTAACACTCATGCTCTCAGAGTCAGGATCCTAATCGCCAGCCAGTCAAAAAAAATAAATAAATAAATAAAAATAGAACAGTTATCCTGTTATTTTCAAATCTTTTGTCCTGCACGACTCATGAATGCGAACGTCATAATTCACAGTGGCTCGTTGATGTGTGATGCAAATTAAATAACGATTAATGAATTGACAAGAAAAGAAATCAAAACATATCTATATACTACATAAGAGATGGCAAAGAACATCTGATTCTTTCATGTTACTCTAGTTAATCTGTCAAGCTGACGATGTTTAATCAAGCCACAAATGTTACTTACATTTCAGCGGGATCGAATCCATGAGTTCAGCATCCGTTGATGACAATCCACAACGGTGATAAGAATCACCCTTTCAAGCACGCCATGGATACCGACAGCATATATTTTACGTCCGTTTCGTACGGTTCATGGAAAGTGTTTTGGAATAAGGATTGTTGCTTGATGTTGTTTTAGATTTATAATTCGAATTTAAAGACAGATAAATAACGGTCCATCTGATTTGGTTGATAATATAAACACTCGAGGAAGATGAAAGTGTGTTTCTCGAGGTTGATGATGAAAGGGTGAGTGAGTGTGGTTTTACGCTGTTTTTAGCAATATTCCAGCAATATTACAGCGGGGGTGGGGTGGTGCTACACCAGAAATGGGCTGTACTCATTGTAGCTATGTGGGGAATCGAACCCGGGTCTTAGGCGTGACGAGCGAACTCTTTAACCACCAGGCTACCCCACCGCCCGATGATGAAAGGGTGTTACTAGGGGTTGGTAATAAAAGGGTGTGACTCGGTGATGGAAGGGTATTGAGTTGTCTTTATATTGCCGGTGGTCTGTCGTTGGATCCCTTCCTACCGCCCCTCTACCAGACAATCAAGTGATTGACATTATGAGCATTGGTCTACACAGTCAGGATACGATGACATTCAGGAAGAAAAGTCAGCGAGCCTGATCACCCGATCCCGTTAGTCGCCTCTGACGGCAAGCGTGGGTTGCTGAATACCAATTCTAACCCAGGTCTCCACGGGTACCAAGGTAAGTGTACGTATGTTGGTCACAAAAGCTAAGAGAGATGAAGATACACTGAGCCCCTGTCAGAAACATAAACAGGTACGGGAGAACGTCTCTGCTTCTGTCAATCATTTGTAGAAAGTAAAAAATCTAGGAGTTGATTCCTTTGGCGACGAAGCCGTGGAGGAGTTGATTCCTTTGGCGACGAAGCCGTGGAAGGGATGTTGTATGCAGACTGGATGTTCTTCCCCAGCTGCAACCACAAAGCCAGATTGAACATATGAAGCCTGAATTGTTGATTTCCTTCGACAATCTGTTGCATTAGCATTTTCTGGCATAATATATTGGACCCGTGAAGGTCCGGGTTAGAATGAACCTTCAGTAACCCATGCTTGTCGTAAGAGGCGACTAAAGGGATCGGGTGGTCAGACTCGCCGGTTTGGTTGACACATGTCATCGGTTCCCAATTGCGCAGATCGATGCTCATGATGTTGATCACTGGATTGTCTGGTCCAGACTCGATTATTTACAGACAGCCGCCATATTGCTGAGTGCGGTGTAAAACTAAACTCACTCACTCACTCATAATATATTAGAAAAAATCCAATAAAAAACGCAAGAAAAATCCGTCTCCTTTCCTACCCTCCCATCCCCGACCCCGCCAATCCACCGTTACCCCCATCACCGTCCCCGTCTGTTACGACGTAAATTGTAATAAAAACGCAAATTGTAATACTTGCAGCAAATTGTAATAAACCTTGACGTAAATTGTAATAAAAACGTAAATTGTAATAAAAACTGACGTAAATTGTAATACGCAAATTGTAATAAATATTGACGTAAATTGTAATAATTTTAGTTGCGGTAAAATGTAATAAATATTTACGTAAATTGTAATAACAGTTTTAATCATTCGTAAATACGCGTGTGTTCGTTTTTCGTTGACATTTCATACATTATTTAAACTTGTTAGGGCGATAACTCCAGAAAGAAATGATGGATTTTGTTCAAATTTGGTACCAAGGTGTCGTGGCGAGATTCACCGACACCAGTTGAATTTAGTGACCTTGAGATAACTTGCAAGGTCACAGCAAAAAATTCAGGGTTTTGCCAATATAAAGATTGTTAGCGCGATAACTCAAGCAAGTACTGAGAATTTTTGCTTAAAAGTGGTACCCAGGTGCGTTTGAACGATGTGCGGACGCAAGATGAATTGGGCGACCTTCAGATTGATAAATACTTATGGAAAATATAACAACCGTAGTATCAAGGGTGCTCTTAGCTAAATGACGAAACATGATATTCATTCTGATATATAATGGATATAAAATCTCCAAATGTCCTCTGTATCATGTTTTTTTTGGCAAATATCTGTTGAGGTTTATACAAATACAGAGGTGTATGTGTGTGTGTGTGTGTGGGGGGGGGGGGATTCTAACGTGTATATCTAACACACTGATGCATGTAGAGATGGGGGTGGTGCAGTGTTCTAACGGGTATATCTACGAGGGGCGTCCAAAAAGTAGTCACACTCACCTAGAATATGATACAGATGCAGCTGTTCTTAGGTTTTATTTTTCTACATATTATCTGTCAACCACAAGCAAATTTGTTTTGCTATGTTTCAGCCTCACGATCCCAATTTTGTTTCACTATTTATCTTGGTACTCGCACAAAACGCAAAATCTGCTATAAATGCATCACAAACTTCAGGAAACAAAATGTGCAAGTGAGTGAGTTAAAATTTTACGTCACATCGGCAATATTTCAGCCATATCGCGACGACAAAAAAAGGTATGTACTAAGAATAGATATATACATGTATAGACTATTATATACTTTTTAATAAACTGTCAGCGAAGGACAGTATAACGACAATATTATCACACATTAATAAAAACTAGTTTGAGTTCAGTGTAAAATGCTAAATCATTTCAAAACAACACAATATAAAATCGGGCTATAGATCGCCAGCAACTGAAGGTAGATCACCATGCTAGGGACCATGGGGACGTACGTTACTTTTGTTACCTGCATGGCCCCTATCTGGATTTGACGAATTTTGGCGTCAACCCCCTCCGAATGTGCAACCACGAGCAATCATAGTTATGTATTCATTCGACCAAATTTATAAAGAACGTATTAATTACAGTACATGATCGATCAGAGTTGAGAGAGAATGGTTGTTACATGAAGTTACTCGCCATTGTTGCTCTTTACTGTTTCCTCTGATGACTTATCCATACTTATTGTTATATCAGCTACATATTTAAAAAATGTTCATCTAAAGGGAATATATATCTGCTCTCTTTGGCCGTAATATAGTAGTTTATAACTTTCCAAGGTTCATGTTCAAGCTCGTGCTTTGTTTATGTACAGTAAATTTACAGTTTGCACCATTCTCCTGCAGTTTATACTGTTAATGTCAATCTGAATACTTGTGACCAGACCGCCTCCGTGGTGTAGTGGTTAGAGCGTCCGCCCGGAGAGCGGAAGGTCGTGGGTTCGATCCCCAACCGCATCATACCAAAAGTCGTTAAAATATGGTACTTGTTGGTCCCTGCCTGGCGCTCGGCATTAATGGGTACAACAAGGACTGGTCGGCTCGGAGTCAGTATAATGTGTCTGAGTGGGGTATTCATGCTTCACTGCGGCATGGTATCTCAGTGAGCTAGCACTATAAAACCAGCTTCAGTCTGGGCTAGTACAAGCAGCCACACATACACATGCATGCACGTCGTCATATGAGCGAAATATTCTCAAGCACGACGATAAACCCAATTTCACCTCACCTCACCTCACCTCACCTCACCTCACCTCACCTCACCTCACCTCACCCCACCCCACCCCACCTCACCCCCCACCCCACCTCACCTCCTCACCTCACCTCACCTCACCTCACCTCACCTCTGACCAGCGTCCTCATATCTTAGACGTGGACTGTGCGAGACAAGCAGTATGGGTAAACCTTGTTTTTTGTCAGTAACCTGGACATTTTGTGACTAGTTCCAAGGCGACAAGAGTTTCTGGTGGGTTGAAGATGTCGTACTGATGTTGTGGCTGACAGATTCTACACGATAGGCCCTGTTATTACTTTGGGCAAGGAGGGAGTTTGTTGCGTGTCCCACTGGTGGGGCTGGGTTACCTCGACTTTGTTAACTGCTGAACATTAGAGATAAATAGACTGCATTTCTGAACAGATCTATTGTGATGATCCATTACGGTTCTGCCTCATGAGCCTCAAGAGACGCGACACAAACATTACATAAATTGTTTGATGTTTTCAAATTACGTAAACTAGCTCACATGATAAATAACAAAATGTTGAGAGGTCGTCGTTTAATATAAGATAGTGATTGTGTAGGTATGTTTACCATACGTTTCATGTTAACCTAGCCAGTGGTTGCATCATTAAGTTCAACCAAATGAACAGTGGTCTTTTCCAAGAAGCCGCCTTCAGACG